GGCCACGTCCAGCTCATCTGGTGTGAAGGGCTCAGAGTCAAATCTAGTGAGTTGTGATAAACGTGTGCTTGCTGCCCTGACAGCTGGGGGTGGAACTGGAGCATTGTAGATGGGAAACCAGAGCTGACTGAATGCAGATGCTTTCCCAAAATCATCTGACATGGGAATGTTTGAGAGAGGTGGACTAGGCATGTAAGGAAAGCTTTTGCCTTGTATGCTCCGAATCTTTGACCAAGTAGCTTTTGTGGTAGTAGTGGCAGATAAAGTGCCAACAAATTGCTCCCAGCTAGCCTTCAGTTTTTGTATCTTTAGCCAGCGTGCCCTGGCTTCAAGACGTTTGAACTCAATAAGGTTGGATGGAGAGGGTGACCGCCAAAGTCTGGTTTTTGCTTGCCTTCTCTCTGAGACTGCCTCTGCACATTCCGCATCCCACCATGGTGTGGAGAATCGGAAGTGATATCCAGCGGCAGAAGTGCGTTTCCCTCATCATAAGAATCCACTGGCAACCACTCATTCAACAGATCATCTCCTATTGCCTGGCCAAAATTATTTCTCAATAAACTAACAAGGAGTAGAGAGCGTTCTTTGTGCCCCTCCTTCGCCATGTTCAACGAGAAGGCTTCATGTAGAAGTCGGCCAACCTTCATTGAAAATTCGTGAAGTGCTCCTGCAATCAAGTTCTCCATTCGGCATTCACTTTCAATTAATTCTTCCCTCAAGATGGCATGAAGGTTGGGAAGGCTGGAGGCTGCATTTGTCTTCAAAGTTTCATGTTGGCTTGTTTCACAGTTTGATGTGGAAATTATCTCCCTCTCAGCAGTCTCAAGTGGTGGCGGAGACATGTCGGCTGATTCCAGGCAATAAGAACCCTGTGAGGAATGAACATCAACTATCACCTTGGAGTGCACAAGATTTGTCTGATCCAAGGGAGTAGGGACTAACATGGGGATGGTATGATGTTTGAAGGCTATGTTTCTCTATGGGAGAAATTTTGCTGGCATTGGTTTGTGGTGTCATGTTGATGGCAGTGTGCATTGAAGAATTGCCTCTGGCCACCTCCACCACCACTGGTGCATGTCTTACTTTCTTGGCAGCATCTGCATAAGAGAGCCCTGTGGCACGGAGCTTCTCCACTGCCCTGGCACCCATCATGACCGGACATTCGCGTGCACTAGCAGAATGTGGACCTCCACAATTAGCACACAAGCGTTTTGAGCTGCCACTACTAGGGCACTCTGACTTATCATGGGGTCCAGCACACAATAAGCACCTCCTTGGGCCAGTGCACCCACTTGCAATGTGGTTCATCTGCTGGCACTTGTAGCACCTAAGTGGCAAAGTGGGGCCATAACAAAAGGTCTCACTGGATATCTCAAGTAGTCTATGTTGACAGCTTCAGGGAGCTCCCTTCCCTCAAAGATCACCTTCACTGCAGATGACTCTGCACGTATACCCTGGCGATGGCTAGGGAGACGCACCATCTCTCTGATCTTCACGAAGCCTGCCCTGGCTGACTCCAGAAGTTCTGAGACCGAGACTGATGGGTGGATTGGCCCAATCACTCCACTTATGCAAGTGTCAGTACCAGGTTGAGAGCAGGCAACTTGCCATGTCCCTATTTTTGTGACTTTGAGAAGAGTGCCCAGATCCAAGTTAGAGACGGATGCAAACTCCACTGCCACCAAGTTCCTTCTTGGGTTTGTCCTCACCTTCATATCTGGATACCTGCCATAGGCAGAGTCCCTGAGGCCACGAGCCAACTTCACAGGATTTTGGAGAAATGAGCTAGCATTTTGGCCCACTGGTTTGATCAAGACAGTGAGTCCCTTGCCTTGACTAAGTAGAGTTGCATTAGTGGTTACTCGACCATGCTTCTTGTTTACTAGCATTTCATCACTGGGCCTCTCAAGATCATGATGTGGTTCTTCAATTCCATTGCTATTCAATCTGAGAGAACTCTCCAGCACGCGAGAGCCCAAGGCACATTTTGCAACTCTTTTTGGATTCTGTTGGACTTCAGAGTCCTCATCACTACTTACAAGTGTGCCAGGATTACGTTCGCGCTTCTTGCCCGTAGGAACACCTGTGGTAACACTAGCATCTTCAATCACATTCATTAGCATATCTTCATGCAAATATTCAAAATTAGGAGCACTCTCACCAGTCTCACCACAAACCTTACCCTGATCTACCCCAAGGTTAGCAGCCGCTACGATGGGAGAAGCCAGACCCGTTGCGTCTGCCATCTTAGCATACGCTCAGGGACGGGAAAAAAAAAAAAAAGGCAAAAAAAAAAAAACTGAAACTTAGAAATAAATAAGGAAACTACTACAGAACAAATGATTAGGTAACTTTTCTACAAATAAGGCCCACAGTGAAGCAATTATCGAATGTCCAGTCTCCTCAAATTGTTGGGGAAAACGAGCAAATAGCACCGAATACCCCAAGAACCGAACAGCTATAGACACACGTCCGCCCGACAGTAGAACCCGTAACGGAATCCCGAAACACGTTATAAACACGTTCAAAACAAAACGGCTCGTTGCAGTGTTGCCAGTTTTTTTTTCTTTGCAAGAATACCAGATTGCCTAGATCAAAATACCAGAAATTCTATTGTTCAAAAAGACTAATACATCCAAATTTAATGAAACTATTCGTCAGAAACGTTTATTAGAGAAAGAAAAAATTTTTATCTTATGTACTGTGCATTTATCTCGCTTAACGATAATTAGCCAAATTGAACACATTATATTTCTTCCTTCTGCCTGGAACATTTTGACACTTACCTTTTCCTGTGTTTGATTACATTGACACTTTTTCCTTTTTTATCACAGTGGGGCACTTCTTCCCCTTCGCTCAACATGAGCAAGCCACGGAAACAGGTCATCTTCGTTTTGCTCATTTTTGTACATGCTTGCATTTTGCATTTATCTAACATTTCGGTTGTGATCACTTGTTGCGGCTGAGCAGATAGCTTTTGGTCCGAATAACGGACTCCAGTACCTTAGTTGAAATTTATTTCGTTGCTTATGTTTCACATAGGTGACTCGTGAAAACACTCGCTCCACGAATGCATTGGAGACAGGTCAAAATAGACAAGTGGTGCAGTAGGCAGCCAGTTCTATGAATGAATGATGATTTCCAAGATCATTGAAATATTGAATGGCTCTCCAGAATTCAAGTGGCACTACAATAAGGGGCACTCTAGATTCCTGAATTCAAAACCACCTAACAAAAATGGTGGAGCTTGCGTCGCAGAGATCGGTTCGACAACCTCACTCGTCTTAGGGTATATCATCACTGATCAGTAATCAATCAAGGATCATCACTCTCGTGCTTATATTGCACTAGGCACTTTTGTTAAATGTTAACAATTAGATTGGGGTTATTTCATCAAGCGGTAAACTTGCGGTTCCAAAAATGGCGGGAAACCTCTAATCGCGCCGCTCTAAAAGTAACCTATACTATATAACAATATAATTCACGCCTACGCTGGAGGAAGTTCAAACTTCAGGGATGGAACTTAGTGCAGTAAATATGCAGGAAGTCAGAAAATACCAGATTTAGACAGATATACCAGATCTAAAATATTCATACCAGACACCACCGTAAAATACCAGATTTGTGAAATCTGGTATAGAAACATACCATCTGGCAACGCTGGCTCGTTGTGTAGACGATTCTTGGCTGAAAAATTGCTTTTAAAATTGCGCTTTTAATACTTTGAAGACACAAAAAATTACCAACCTGTCAAAAGCAACAAAATTTGACATTAAAATTTCTGTTTTACTTGGCGTCTTCTCTGTCCTCTTCTACGAGATTCTTATTTCTAAGTTCCGGTTGGTTTCAATGGAAACTCAATAGAGGAAGTGGACGTCTGCTAAATTTTTATCCAGCCTGTTCTTAAAGGTGTTCACTTTTGGCGCTTCTACCACAAACCCTGGCATCGTATTCCATATGGCTACCACATTCAAGCCATATTAGGGCTTTCTAATGCCGATGCGGGAGGATTGCTTCTTAATTTTGTACTTGTCCTTCCGATTATCATTCTGTGCTATTGTTAAGGTATCTTTCAATGTCTATTTTGTAGAACATATGGGTTATCTTATAAGCTTCGACTAAACCTCCTTGCAACCGTCTGTGCAATCAGGCCAGGCGTCTTGGTACTTTCTCAATGTCCTTGTACTCCAGTTTTAAAACATTTGGTCCTAGTTTCTTGTCCTGCGCTGAACGTACTGTAATAGGATGACATTTTTCCTGAAAGGTAGCAACCTTACTGCGTTGTCACAGTCTAGGTGCAGCTGCGCCAAGCTTTTATACAAGTATCTCAGCGATTGTTTGTCAATGTTTTTTACGCACGAGCCAAATAATCTGGTTTGACCTACTGACGACTTCCTTTATCAGTGCACAGTAAACTCAAGATAAAGATCCATCTGAACACCGATACTCAGTCTAACTATATGACATCTGTTCATGAAGTTTATCCCTAGCAACACGAGTGACAATCGCAATACTTGTTTTTACAGACGTATTTTTGACTTTAGGAAAGTGCATATACATGAGCGAAATTCACAAGCCGTGAATTCGGACATATATGCGATTGATAAACAGAAAAGATTGTGTTCAGGAAATGTTGATCGAGAGAAGTTCATAGCGTATCTTTTCTTGAGGCTACAAGCACACTGCACTGCTAAATATCACTACATTCGTACAAGATGGCACTTACACGGCCGGCAATATAAACGGGACCGGAGAAAAGGCATCGAGTCCTGTCTGCCTACTAACTTACCTTAATGCCTACACAACACCCAGAAGTTCGACATGCAATAAGACATCACGAGATGCGATGCTCAGGAACAAATACCCTGGCGTTGCGAAATCCAAAAGGCAAATGACGGGCAGACACGCGTCAGCGGACTTCCTGCTACGGACTTCGTCGTAACGTTCATGGAGGGAGTTGATGGTGTGGGGTTCCTTTCATTAAAGAAATCAACACAGAGTAGGTTTGTAATATTCATTAGCACTCAAAGTCTTGAAAATATATTCCTAATTTTGTTGGGATAAACTACATCACATAAGAAGTGTAAAGCGCATGGAAGCTGTACTCTGGAAGTCTGATCAATAAGGCGTAGCTACTAAGTACACGATAATTGAATAGTAATCAAAATAAATCTTATTCACAGTTACAGTATACATATAAAAGACTACAAAGTTCACAGCCACGATCGCGATACAGCGACAACTCCATACTCTGCCATCTGCACAGAGAATCGACAAATTCCACAATTTGTCCGTGTTTGCCGACAATGTATTCTAAATAGGCATATTACAACCATTACATCGATACCGTTTCTAGCTAGGAATACAACTTATGTCGGCCATTTCATTCTTCAATCACCTATAAGATAGATGTCGTCCTTCTAGTGGGAATAAATTACTACATTGCGAAGGTAATATAGGCATAACAACTGTCCACATCAACCAGATGTTACTGTAACTATTTTCCTTGATGTAAAAATGGATTTAAAGTAATACCGGTATTGATTGAAGTGACACACAAAGTCAACTCAATATAATACTTGACACAGGATATAAAAAAATGCCAAACATACACCGTAGTGATTAGTAAATTTTTAGCTGAACCGATGTTTGGAAGTTCGCGATGGCGAAGTTTGAAAAAAAAGCTACAGCGATAACATTTATGATTATCTTCAGAAATAAAAGCCTTTAACTCGCCATAAGAAAGCCGAAAGAATACCAAGGAGTCGCGTTTTCATGAGTTTGCAGTTAAGTTACTGAGTGACCTGGCTATGGCTTTCGAGTACTAGGGAGGTTTCTACTATCGAAAGGCTAGAACTATGAGAATTTAATGTCTTCCTTGCTAAATAATATTAGTTCAATTTGGAAACGGAAAAAATGTTGCAAAGCTGATATCAAAAGTAATTATTGCGAAACAAATTCAGCGATGCTGCGAGTAGGTTAGGATATAAATAAATATTTAAAAATGCCCCAGAACATTGAGCCGGTATCACAGAATTGCAGCAAAGTTAGACTAGTAAATGCCTGCCATACTACTTCACTCGCCGGACAACACAACAGCAGCAAGTCAATAACACAACAGCAGCAAGTCAATAACACAACAGCAGCAAGTCAATAACACAACAGCAGCAAGTCAATAACACAACAGCAGCAAGCTAATAACACAACAGCAGCGAGTCAGTAACACCACAGCAGCAAGTCAATAACACCACAGCAGCAAGCCAATAATTACGAAATAACAAAGCTAGGCGGCCATGACAGTTGACAATACGCCAAGTATACATCCTCGATTTGCGTACGCAAGAAGCAGCTCAGGGTCAGGGTTGAATCCAAGCTGCTGGATCTGCATAGAGATGGCGTCGCAGGGCAGCGCCGTGGCGAGATGAAGGTGCGCCGCGGGCGACGCAGCGCACGCTATCAACTCCAGCCTACAGACCGGCCTCACCGAGACTCTATTACTTGGTAGGACACTGCAAAGATATACTGGAATTTTACGATGGAAAGTTTTAACGTGTTTTCCTTAGGTTTAAAGTTCACAATATTTAATGAAAATAAACTTCTGGCAGAGAACAGGGAAAATCAGAAAAAATGTCAGCGTCATTTGGAGTTAGTAAGAGAATTTTCATTATAAAATTGTTGATGAGATAAAGGTTGAAATATCTGCATCTGAAACCTCCTTGACCGCCAGCAAGTAACTACTGAGACAGAGAAGTTGGTACATTCTGCGACTCAAGACGACTTGAAATCAGATAAGGGAATTAGAAAGCTAATAAATTCGAACTGCCCTCACCGTCATTAGCAAAAATATGATAAGCATTCTTTTCGCTCTAGAAGATTCAAGAAACTTCCTCCTACAATATTCAATGTCAATAGCATAGTAAGACGGATGGCGAATGTAATGAATAAACATACTTTTTTGTGATGAATAAACATACTATGATTTTTACCGTCTGTCCGAATCGTGAATAGTAATGGCTACTCCACGCGTTAGACTGCCAAGCTCACCTCGTGGGCAGCAGGATGGCCACGGCCCCCAGCAGCCATTCCACGTGTTGGACTGCCAAGCTCACCTCGTGGGCAGCAGGATGGCCACGGCCTCCAGCAGCCATTCCACGTGTTGGACTGCCAAGCTCACCTCGTGGGCAGCAGGATGGCCACGGCCCCCAGCAGCCATTCCACGTGTTGGACTGCCAAGCTCACCTCGTGGGCAGCAGGATGGCCACGGCCCCCAGCAGCCATTCCACGTGTTGGACTGCCAAGCTCACCTCGTGGGCAGCAGGATGGCCACGGCCTCCAGCAGCCATTCCACGTGTTGGACTGCCAAGCTCACCTCGTGGGCAGCAGGATGGCCACGGCCTCCAGCAGCCACTCCACGTGTTGGACTGCCAAGCTCACCTCGTGGGCAGCAGGATGGCCACGGCCCCCAGCAGCCACTCCACGTGTTGGACTGCCAAGCTCACCTCGAGGGCAGCAGGATGGCCACGGCCTCCAGCAGCCACTCCACGTGTTGGTCCGTGATGCCGTGGAAGACCAGCGTCGTCGGTATCACGGGTACCTGCGCCGGCAGCGGCGACAGGTCCGCCAGGGCGAGGCTCGTAGCGATGCGCACATCTGCACATTCAAATATCAGAAATATACGCAATGTTTAATTACATATACCGGTATAGTAGTAGAAAAGTTGTTCTGTAATATATATTGTAGAAAAGTAATTACAAAATATATGAAACGTTATGTGACCTAAAACGATTTTTTTCGACCTTTAAAAGTGTTTTAATTCAACAATGCCAATCTCGGTATGCTTAAACTTTAATTAAGAAGGTAATTAGGCCAGGGTAATTATATTAAAAGACTGAATTTACACTGCAGATATTTTTGGAGTAAAAATTTTTTTGCGCACATAAGTACCAACTTGAGACAATTCAAGGCAATTGGAAATATCCTAGAGGTAATATTATACAAGCTAAATATCACGTTAACATTCGGAAAATAAAATTGAGAACAATATACAAATCCGTCCCCGCAGTCCTGACACTGCCCCGGACATGAAAAATGATATATAAATGAGCAGGCTTGACAGCGCGTTATCAAACAAAAACCTCGCCTCAGAGTTCAGGTAAGAACCTCATGCCATGATGTAAAACAAGAACCTCATGCCATGATGTAAAACAAGAACCTCGTGCCATGATGTAAAACAAGAACCTCGTGCCATGATGTAAAACAAGAACCTAATGCTAGAGTGTATACTGAAAACTGACGCAGAGACTGAGCGCGAGTGGGCATGGCGCAGAGAGCGCTGAGCTGGTCAGCGCGCGTCACGCTGAGCTGCAGCTCGAGCATAGCGGGGGGCAGCGCTGAGATGGCGTCGGCGCCCAGGCTGCCACTGAACGAAACCAACTTACCGCTGTAACAAATAAGTTAATTACTTCACTCACGTCAACTAATCTTCAAGAATTTACTGAAACAAGAAATGATGGAAAACTCCAGCTTCGAACGTGTAGTCTTAATTTAGGAACTGTGAATTAAAAATAGTAATTAATTAAGAGCTTTAGGTTACAGTCGAAGAACACTGAGCGCTCATGAGAGAAATTTGATACAGAAATATTCGCACGTTGAGTCTCAATTTAGGAACTCTTCATTATTCTCAGATTCCGACTAAACTCACTTCGGGACTATTAAAATACGGGACGTCAACTGTCCGTATCGTACAGCATTAGAGCACGTAAATCATTAGAAGACATTAATCCAGGTATGCAAGGCGAAAGCATCAGACACTGGTGGTAGTAAACACGACTCTACATAGATAACAAACTAAGGCTGTCAGATATCACTGCCATCAGTTTCTAGCTAAACAGCTTTCGTATGACTCAGGGGTCACGGTCAGCTACTAACTGACTAATAAAACTAAACGACTGCTGATCCTGTGTAGCTGGGGTACGTCCAGCAACTTACTGTCGCGTGTATGATACCGCTGCTTGACGCGTGCGGTCTCATATATATTTGTTAATGGCAAAATTATCCAGCAGATGATGCATTAAAATCCTACAAATGAACAGTCAAAAAGTACAGTTATGGGAACGACGGTTTCCTGTAGTTCACATTCACACCCTTCACTTCCACCGGCACTTAAAGAAGAGGGAGATGTCTCTGCAGAAATAAAATATGTATTCAACAATCTGGGGCGAATCAAATTCTTCGATAATTACCGGAGACTCCAATGATCACATGCCAGATGCGAAGAGTTGTCTTATCTAATAACTATTATCTGTGTACATAATTATTGATTTACAAACAAATGCAAATAAATCGTACAATTAAGAGTTTCGACGTTGGAAAACTAATTCAATTCGAAATTAGTGGCTCAAAGTTTTTGCAAACTTCACAACTACAATAAAAAAAGCAGAAAATTAACCAATTAAGTATCGTCTTGCAGAAACATATTATGCCTTACAAACGGTAGACAAATGTTGAAAAATAGTTTACATATTTCGAAATTAACGCAAGCGTGACTCACGGTGCGCCCTTGAAGAGCTTAACGAGACGGTCATCTTCATCAACGTCAGGCGAGTGGAGGTACTGAGCGTTGTGTAGGCTGAAACAGCAATCAAACTGGACCAGTTCTGCCAGCGCCGCCTCACATGTCGCAACATCAGCGGAGCCAGGGAACCTCAGGTACACCATCATCAGTCTGGGAGCCTTGGTCTTGACTCGTTGCAGCACAGTCGTGTAGCTGGCGGACGAGTGGCCGACGTAGCATCCGGCATCCATCACGTCTTTATGCATGTCTACTGAAGGCGCTTCCTTCTCACGACAAAAGTAATGGATTTCAGATTACATCTCGACATAATACATTAGTATATCACCATAACAAACTTTACTTTTACTCTGGAAATGTATTGCAACATGAGAAGAGTTAGAGAGCTATATTATAATGTGTCTACTTTAAAAAGTTTAAATATGGCGGTAAAATACCTTACTATTTTGTTATAAACCATTAGAAGAATGTTTTTTACTAGCAAAATTTATAAAGAAATATGCCAAGTCAAAATTAGGGAGAAATTGAACGGGGTGTATGGTAGGATAAGTCGAAGTACACGAGCTATGAATAAAGGGTTAATCGAGGAAGCGGTTCAAATGTCCGGGCAAAAGACAGTCAAGGAAGAAACATTAGCAAGACGAGTCTGAATGCTGACAAGAACATATCCTCTGAAGGTAAGCTAGATTGACGAGCTATTCTTTAAGAGCCTTCCAAGAGTCTGACGTACAACGAGATTAGTACGATGCTCTACGAAAATGTGATGTGTGGAGCCGAGCGATGGCACGGACACGGAGGTAGAGAACTTCAAGATGATGAAGATGAAGGCAGAAATCAAGAAATTGTGAGAAAGTGTTTTTAATTTCGATGAATGCAGGTGCAAGACATTAATGACACTAATGGGAGAGACAGCATCCTCTAAATGAAATTCTCAATCGAGTTGTACAGCTGGTGGTACTTGGCACATCGTGCAGCTATTAGGTTGTAATAAATAAAGTCGGCATGTAGTCTTTGCCCTTCCTGCATTTAGGCTGAAAGTCTACGCAATTGCAACAAAAACTCAAGAATGAAACGACGAAACGTTAAACAATATGGCGGCATAACATCAGTAACTCCAATATTGAAATAAAGAACTTTTATAACTAACAAGTGCACTCACAAATTAACTAGCAAAAGTAAAATATGACTCAATAAATTTTGTTCTGGCACCAAACAGAACATTTGCCACATTGCCTCAAAAGACTCACCTTCAACAACTTCATAAGCGACGAGAATTCATTGAAGTCCACGTGAGCTTGGCTGAGTTGGCGCTGAGCGCCGCTGCTCCTCCTGTCTGCCTCTGAAACTGTCAAGCTCGTCCAGTGTATGTTGGGGTTCTTCTTCTTCATGAAGACGACCACGCGCTCTGCTGGAGGACAAGAGATTAGCTCTTGTGTGGGGCAGCAGATCAGTTAACTAAACAAGCGCCACCTGCCCGGCGCTCTGCTGGAGGACAAGAGATTAGCTCTTGTGTGGGGCAGCAGGTCAGTTAACTAAACAAGCGCCACCTGCCCGGCGCTCTGCTGGAGGACCAGAGATTAGTCCTGTGTGGGGCAGCAGATCAGCTAACTAAACAAGTGCCACCAGCCAGGTGCTCTGCTGGAGGACAAGAGATTAGTTCTTGTAGGGGCAGCAGATCAGCTAACTGAAAAAATGCAGTAAAGAGGCAGTGGCTGCAGGGTAATGACCTCATTGCTGCAATTGATCTAGTAGGAACAATTGTTTGTATTGGTAATTGAAATAATAAGAAAACAAAATTAGTTTTTCTTTGCAGAAATTCAAAAAACGTTTAGTCCATTTATGGCTTCCTTGAGATGATTGTAATTTTGTGACCAGATGTACCAATTTTCATTTTGTTAAGATTAAATATAAAAAGGAATTGTAAATATTCTTGATGTTATATCTTACTATTAGTCTAAATATGTTGAAAACCTTTGTAGCAAATCATAAAAAATTAACTAAAAATCGAAAGCAATTCTGAAAAAATTAAATCAAAACAGTATCTATTGATTGATGGTGAAAATATGTAAATTCAAAATCTGTTATCTGTGTGGAAGTCTCGAGGCTCCAGGCATGGAATAATACCAGATCCTTATTTGATAGTCCAATTTAAATGAATAGAAAGTCAAAATTGAATAATAGAACATGATAATTACACCAAACACATGGAATATTGCAAGCAATCTTTATAAATTAATTTTATAAACACAATCTGAGAACAGTAACAACTCAAGCAACAATGTATCTTCAGGGCCACAGACTTGGTGATAATCTATTGGGAAAAAGCTGCTGTCAATTATTATTGCCGAGAATATTAGGTGATTTTTTATATTTCACTTGCAAATTTGATCATTTCTAAAAATGTGAAAATTTACAGACATGCATACCCATCTTTAACCGAATCTTGCTGTCCTTGATATCTATGGCTTCTCTCAGGTTCTGAAGAATGAACTTGTAGTTTCTTCCATTGATGTCAGAAGCCAGAAGACTCATGTGATGCTCTCCAAAAATCGAGCTCACTTTCTTGCTATGTGTCTCCTCCAACCCATCAATATCTATATAAATCTTCACAAACTTCTCCGACTGATTCCATTCTGAGGATATAGGTCATTGTATAGAGCTAAAGAAAGCACATGATGACAGGCAATAAAATAAAGCAAGAAGGAAGACTTGAACCCAACATTGAGTTTATCTTCTTTTATTTAGGCATTTTCAATGAGAAAATTATTCACGATTCAATATCAATTAAATAAACATTCATATGAGAGATAAACACTGACTAACCATAGTCCTCCACTGCGACCGTTGGCAGGCTGCTACAATGAGCATCAAATTCTGTGTTGGAATCGCAAAGCTTCAGCCAGGAGCTAGAAGAAGTTTTTTTCTTGGACTTGGGCTTTGACTTCAGAGAGTTACACTTTTTTTCCTGTTCATCCTGTATTGAATTACCGCAAACATTTAAAACCTTTGAATTGCATTAAGATTAAAGCCTCCAGAGATTTAACTTTAATTGTGATTGAAATATAAAGGCCACTTTGAGAACATCCAAAACTAGGGAACTGCTGCTTGATCAAGGCTAGGAGAACAAGAACTGACTTACTAAATTATTTATTGTCTTCTTGGGATACACAAAAATATATCAAATGGTTTTTGTATCAACAAAATCAAAATTTGGCAACCATAAGCCATGATCCAAATTTATAGCTTCTGTCTGGCCAGTCCACATCTGGCCAATGCAAGCATATGCTTGCATTGGCAAATAAAAAGCTCCTTCCATAATACTGTGTTCATGATACATAATCATCAATACAATTTCTTATTAATGTGCTCAAAAAAACAATGCTTCAAAGAATTTTCTAATAACTAAATACTTTTCATAGTGGGATTTATTGACTGATATATTAGCAGAATATATGAAAATCACCATTTTACATGTCGCCATAATGTTAGCCTAAATAACATTAACCGCTCAAAGATATTGCCAAGGTCTTTGGGGTTTGATCAGTCTTGCACCTATCATGAGTGTACCAACAATTCAGTCGAAAATATGCCCATGCCAATATGTAGGCATGACTTTATGATAACTAATCAGACTATGAAAATAATAAACAAAATTGGAAATAACATAGGTATATAACAAACATTATCCTAATTTCTATTACATTTAAGTCATAGATGATACGAGCCAGCATCTCTTGGCAATCAAAGAGTTGTTCAGTTGCTTCAGCACAGGATGTCTTGCCTTGCAAGAGTCCCTTCATCACTTGCTCCACCCGCTCCTGGAGCTCAGTAAGCTTAATCTTTAGAGGCTCTCTGAATACTTGGCAGCTGGTGGTGTTCAGAAGCTCAACCAATTTACTCATGAGGCCCATTACCTGCAAATAAGATAAAACTGGTATTTCATCATTTCAGATTCTACATTCAAGAAATTTTAAAGTCATTAGAAGCAACAACTGGCTACTGTATACCTATAATTATATACTTTATACTTATAATTGCTACTGTATACTTATCATACACATATGTCTTTTTAATTAAATACATGAGTTTCAAGATAAAAAGAACCAAATTTGGAAATTCATCTACATTTGAGGTCAAGAAAGAATATGTTAATGGTGCCTTGAAATTATAATTGAGTCATCAGGCTCTGAGGTTCAAATAATGGCACTACTCATATCTACTAGAATTAAACACCATTTGAATCTTTGTAGTTGCTTAATGTAGAATCTTTGCTAAATAAAAAATATCTTCATGCAAATTAAATAAAACAAAAAACATCCTCTATTCAAATTAGAGTCAAATACCAATGATCAGGGTCAGGAATTTATATCAGTTTGGTATCAACAAACAAGCCTACAAAATTTGTCATAACTTTCAGTAAAAGTTATTTTTAGTCCACATTCACAATGCACATGGCTCAACGCCTCAGGCTTCATTGTTTTCTTTTATGAAGCTCTGAAGTCAAGTTTCACTAAATGCATGAATAAGTAAATCAAGTTCTTTTAGTTCATTTCTTCATAAAATGATCATAAGAGAAAGTTTGAAAAAATATATAAAATGAATTCAGTAAAGAATAGAACTAACCTGCTCATTCATATTACTTAACCCAGAGAAGTCTATTTTCTCCTTGCAAAGAACAATTTCTTTTTCAAGTAACTTAGTGAGCTCTGCAGATTCATGTTGTCTATTTTTGAGGAGCTCCAAATTTTTGAGGTAATCATTGAGCTGCAAAAGAAGAAAAAATCTATTATAAATAATGATCAAAGAATGCAGCAAACAGAAAATTGTGTGCCTACATGGTTTGTGTACACTGGGACTTTTTTATGTTTCTCTAGATCTTCTGAGAGCCATTAATTTTTATGATTGATGTAATGTGTTGAATAATTGACAATAAAATGCTAAGTAGACACTTATACACACAAAATTCATTAATAACATGATTGGATGATAAACTAACAATCATTATAGTACAGAGAAAAACTAAAACTTTCATAGTCAACCAAAAGATATCTTATAATAATTATGTATAAACATTCTTATAAAGAATAATTGGCAACTTTTACTGATAACGCTGTAAGTAGACATAATTATCTATTATAATTTATACAACTCAAGTAAAGTAAGTATATATAATTCAGGACAAAAACATTTCAATGGGCATTATTCTTTCAAGAGACTCACCTCCTTCATGTCATGGCTGCCCATCCTTGCCTGTTAGGAGACCTGTTGACCTGAAATTGATCTCTTATTTGATACTCGATAATTTTTGTGAAGAAATGTCCTTTGTATTACAGATAAAATATATATTTAAATAATAAATATTTTTCCTGAAAAACCTGTCAGAAGTGGGTATGAAGATATTAGAATGAAAAATCTAGTCAAATCTTCTAAATGTGCTTATAATGCTATGAATAGTCTTCTGCAAGCACCAAGCAAAGAAAAAAAAATAATAGTAATAAAAAAAATACACTACAAACCATAAAAAATGCCACCATTGTGGTTAGAATTCCTACAGAACCTCGAGATTAATTGCACATTCATTCAGGAGTTGTGTGACAGTAAATGGCCCGAAGTAGCCTGCTCAACTCAGCAAGAAGGTTAAAAATATATTAAAAGAACTACCTAAATATATAAATAGTCAAGAAGTAATTTTCTTGTGTTTTCACCTTGATACTCATTAACAGCATTATTTCCAACATCATCAAATTTTAATATTTGAGATATCTACTACTTTCCTCAGCTTATTTTCATTAGAATTTTCAATTTAATATTTAGTCAGTATTTATATAATTCTGGTAACATTTCACTGATTTCAGTACAAGTAGCATTATGGATATAAGGCATTAAGGTCAAACAACCCTTTTAAATTTCCAATATAAAGCTTCAAAAATAAACACACACCAATAGTACACAAATGCATCAAAATATAACTCAAGATTCTGAAGTTTCATGTCAGTCCAAACTCTGACAGACTTGTACAGAGACATTGCTAGGGGTACTTCTAACATTTGAATTCTAAATGTTCACTAAGGCTGTGTCAACTGTTTTGAAACAAAAAAAATTGCAGCAACTTACTAATTGACTCCTGCCTGGCATGAGATATATATACCGTCAAACGGAGTAATAAGGGACGGACGGAGTAAATCAGGACACTGAGGACAGTCCTCCAACATTTTGTAGAACCATTGTAGCATCTAAACTAATTAAATAATTGAAACTAAAAATAGTGGCGTAAAGCTCAACATTTTTCCTATCTATGCAGCATAAAGCAAGTTAAGAAATCATACATTTACTACCTCTAAAAAATCCCTGAAAAAAGTGTAAGAAGTGAGATTTAAGAAGGGTACCTCTTCTAAGGTCTGTAGGAAAAAGTAATAGCCTATTGAAAAATTTTACTTACATATAAGTTGCACAAAGGTGTTGGCTTAAAAACGCAACTGACAGAATTTGCATAACTCATTCCACAAAAAATTGCAGCCATTTTTCTTGCTCAGCAAAAAATTTTACTTGACAAAAAATTAATGCATCATCAGTCATCACAAAATTGTGTATAGAATGTCATAGATTGTGCACCGACTTCATCAGTTCATGAGATGATCAAATTTTGATTTTTTTTTGCCCCATCCTTCATAAATTATAAAATAGCTGTTGTGTTGTAATTGCCCATCCTGGTAGTGGCGACTGGCGACTAGGAAGGGGGCCCTGGGGGGTGATAGGTGATCATAGGTCACTGCATAGTGGCAAACCAGAGCTTTTTTAGAATCAGTTCATTTTTAATTTCTTCATTTACTCAAGATTTAAACCAATTTCTCAAGTATGATACTGCTGGTATCCAGGATACTTTACTGGTCTACTTATAGAACTCAAAAATGAACTTGAGGGAGAGTCTAAAAAACTCTCTGGCCTCTGCTTTGCCACTATGGGTCACTGGTCAGTTTATCCGGGCACTTGATTGAGTTGGTGGCTTGGTGCCACTGCCCACTGCCACTGGTAGTTCTACAACCATCACTGGCTTGCTGACCTGCCAGAACCATTTTATTGCACTACACAACACCCTGGAGCCTGGACAAGCCAGGTACTCATTTATCAACCAGAGTTAGATGAATGGTGAAGTTGAAACTTGACCATGAGCCGAGCTTCCTGGAACCGGATGAACTTTCCTCAGTGGGACTCGAACCTGGGAGAGTGGGAGCTGGGTCCTGGGTGCAAGAGACAGAGTCTCTCACCACTGCACCACCACAGCTCCTTATAAACTAGCTCATCACAAATTTTGAATACTAGGTATTTTGAGTTTTCACCAGCAACCAGTTGAGGGCTTGAGGCCTTAGATGAGCCTGCTGACAGAGCTATTGCCAGTGGCCCAGTGCAGCCAGTCAGTCTGGACTGTCTGGTCCTGTTACTGTCTGGATGTGAGTCATGTGACTTGGCTCACTGACAAACAATAAGTCAGATATACAGTAGTGCAATCACTGCAATGATAGTGGCAAGTGGCAACTGACCAGTTGGCAACCCAGAGATTTTTAGATTCAGATTCAGTTCATTTTTAATTTCCTCATTTACTCAATATTTCAATAAATTTCTTATGTTTGAAAATGCTGGTACTGGTAGAGGTAGTGATATCCATGATACTTACTGGTGACTGGTCTACAATCTTAGAATCTACATATAGGGCTCATAAATGAACTTGAGGAAAGGCAACAAAAAGTGTTAAATGTTCACCGTTGCCACTCTAGGCGTCCAACAATCCAAACATATATCATAACTATATAATATAGTATAATTATTTGACACTCACCGACTCACGCACTTCAGGGGCAGCAGTTGAAGTTCTGTTCTGTTCTTCGATGGATTATCGGAGTGCTGCGCCTTGGACGATTCACTCCGGAAGCAGCTGTTTGTTAACGATTAAGGGTCAAAGCGGTGGGTTGAACTGATGAAGTTTTCAACGGCTCTGCAGGTCTGAGGCCAGGTAGGGCTGCTGGTGTTGCTGCGTTCCTCACAAGTACTGGACGTTTGGAGACACTTTGAAGAGGAACCAACCCACCTGGATCAGCTGAAACAAAAGGAAAACAACATCAGCACTTCAATCAAGCATCAGCTAATGGGAAATACTATGAAGAGGAATAAGACCGCTTGAAAACATAGAAAAACTGCAATTCCACAAACAATTGATGGTTATCTGAAAAACCACACATTGAATCATCAGGACCAAGAAGATCAACAAAAACCATGATATAGTTGCAGTGCTCCTATGAGCTAATTAAACCTATAAGTGGTTGGAAAAATCAGTATTGGAAAAACATTAAGTAATGCCATGTCCAGGTGTGACAGTTGGCCTGACTGAGACCACCTCTACACCTCCAACAAAGCAAGCAAGCAAGCACTTTCGCTCTTTGGAGAACGTTGTTTATACGCGTTCAAAACGAGTCTGGCAGCGTGATGGACTGATGGTGAGTCAGTGATGGTGACTGGTGACAGACAGTCTTGACTCGTGAGGAGAGAAGGTCAGCGGCGACGGTGGGAGCTGCTAGTGTGAGTAGCGAGCGCTATTTGAACTATTTCATCGGTAGTCAAGCTTCAGGGTAGTCATATCTATTTTGGGAATTTTGTACGAGGTAATCGGAGCCATTCGGAGGTATCCATAGGAAAACAAACCATTTGATGCTGATTCTGATGGTTTTCTATATCACAGTGTCACAGTGATGAGTGATGTCGCCTGGTGCTGAAAATGAATAATAGACCTGACGTGGTCGTGACATGTCGCCAATTCTTGCACTCAACGTGGAGTCGTCAGTCGTGACTTATTCATAGGAGGTCAAATAGGTCCTTTGACCGGATTTTTTTCACCACAAACGATAGTTATAAACCTCTCGCCAGTCGCCACTCTCCAACAACTCAAAATTTCTATAAGTATTATCGAATATTTGCATTTTGCATCACTTACTTGGTAGTTGGTAACTAATTTCTAATTGTCAGGAATCAAAATTCATCATTCGGCAGTCCAGAACTGACTACTGAGAACTCCAGTCGGGCAGTTCCAGCAAGGACTAGGGGGGATATGATATGCTTAATCATTAATCATTTAGGCTAATGTACAGTTGAGCTTGCAACTGCAAGTTGCAACTTCACACTTTAAAAGAGCTACTGCCTAGCATAGTGGCAAAGCAGAGAATTTTTTAGACTCTTCCTCAAGTTCATTTTTGAGTCCTATAAGTAGACCAGTAAAGTATCTTGGATACCAGAATTATCATACATAAGAAATCTGTTAAAATCTTGAGTAAATGAGGAAATTAAAAATGAACTGATTCTAAAAATCTCTGGTTTGCCACTATGCTGCCTAGTGCCTACTGAGTAGTGAGTAGTGAGTACTGACCTGAACCATATTAGAATCATCTTGTAGCGCAGTTTAGATCTATTTTAGATGATTCTGGATAGAATTATTCTGATTTGTAGTCAGTGCCATTATGCACACTGATTTTGCCACAGCTCTAATGTTACTTACCTACTCACTTGCATTCAAAATTAACAATCTATTTTGTTGACAATGCTGAGGCTGAGCCTGGGTGGCTGGGCCACAGCCTACAAGTTTGATTTGAAAAGAATTTTGTAATAGAACCCAATAAATTGTAATTCTGGCTAATGTTATATGGTTTTTATTGATTAGTCATTTAGTGGCAGGCTGGCAGCTAGAGTGTTTGGTGTAGTGACGGTACAAGAGACCGGAGTGGAGTTGTGGCTCTATTTAGGTGATGACTGTGTGATGGCAGTAAGCTAATAAAAATCTTAGTGTAGAGGCTGAAATTTCATCTTCATAACCTTTTTCTTCACTAAGGTAATGTGTTATTACTTGTATGAATGTGTCTTTTAAATTGTTAAAAATAAAATTGGTAGACATACTTGGAATTTTAATTTTCTCAGTTTATTGTTCAAGTACAAATTAAGATTGTTGGCAAATAGGTAGAAATGTTTTGCTATTATTGAAAGACACATGCATTAGCAATTTTTAGGTTAGTTAGGGTTAGCCTAGAAGCAACTAAATTATTGAAAGTGACAGTATGCTCTCATTCATGTTGGTGGGCGGCCATTCTAAATGGATTCTAAATGACCATGTACCTATCTAATTGAGGAGCGCAGTGGCCAAAAATAAAAGCCCGCTGGCTCCAATACAAGCAAGACAGCCGCACGCTTCAATACAAATGCGCTCTCCAACTTAGTGGGAAAGCTTAGTTTTTAGACTCTCCTTCAAGTTCATTTTTGAAACCTTCAAGTAGACCAGTAAAGTATCAGATGCCAGCATTATTATACAAAGAAATTGGTTGAAATTTTGGGTAAATGAAGAAATTTAAATTGTACTGATTCTGAAAAGTCTCTGGTTTGTTACTATGTGCTCCAATTATGAGGAGGCCGGCGGCAGCAGCAGCACGCTTGTCCTGCTCCTATTGTAGCGGGATGAGGGTGCTGCTGCCGGCCCGCTTGTATTGGAGCACGTGGCCATACTGTTTTCCCCCCTGCTCTTCAAGTGAGTAGCACTGAAGTGCTTCAGCTGTCCTGGTGGACCTAAATGACCAACCATTTCCTACATTCCAAGAATTCCAAATGCTCTCATTTGTATTTTGTAGAAGCATTAAACACATAATTTTCTTTTATCAACTTGAATTGAAATTATAAACATTCTGTTTCTTTTCAGATATGGCAGATATTCAGAGAAACCAGTACATCTGATCAAGAACCTTTTGTGCGTTTGCTGTGGGTGGACAACCTACGTGCCAGAGTGCCACACAAGGATGGATGCTAATGACAAAGATCAAGATACAATTGATAAGGTTTGGACAACTGTATATTAGTAAATTTGGAGCCTAATGCACTTAGCTTTTCTTAGATAATCCCTGTCCCCTGAGATTTGAGAATCATTTCTGCAGAAACTCGTTACTCATTTCAAACAAAAGTAATTTTAATTAAGGTAAAACATGTTTGTACCAATATTTAACACAGACTTTCTTCAACTTTCATCAAGAGGTTTGAGGGTAATTTGAATGTGTATGTTTCAATATAGTTTACAAAAATCTAAATTAGTAATTGATTTTTTATTTAGCCCAAAACTTACAAAGCCCAAAACGATTTCACAAAGTCCCATGATTCCATCCCAAATGCTGTTTCTCAGTTCATTAATTATTTTGACACACTGAGTGCCCAATCCATAAAGACAGTAATCCACACCACCCATATGTATAATTATGGCACCAACCTTCAGATAAAGACTTTTCACCAAATAGATATGGCCTTGAAATTATGAACGACCATCAATCATATCATTTGTATGCATAAAAGTGGGCTCATTATTGGGCAAAGGTGCATTGTTGTCAGTTTAGTATGGTACTTGGGTAAATTTTCTCAAAGATCAGCAGAAAAATTGTGAATAAAAAAATTGTGAATTTTGTTAATCCACTTTTACTAATGTGTAATCACTGTAATGAATAAATTACAATGTTATTTTTCTTATTTTAGATGTCTAAAATTAAATTTTTTTTTCATTATTTAGAGTGATCTCACAATTGAAATGTTTTTGGGTAGATATATTAAGTATTTATAATTCTCAATGCATACCGTGTGTTACAAACCAATTACTTGATATTTGCTGTCACATGTGATAAGCTTGTATATTAATTAATAGCAATAACTTTAATTTTTTTTGCTCAATCATCCCAATTTCTTTCAATTTTATGTATTTTCAAATTGATATTTATAGATTATTTTACTGTGCATTTGTGTTTTAGAGTCAAGAAGTTTATTCCACTCTTTTAGTATTCATAATTTATAAATTAATTTATGAAGCACTGAGATTAATTAGGCAGACCTTGTCCACAAGGTGATACTTTATCACCTTTGTGTGGGTCATCCTGACCAGTTTGTGTCTATGTGAACTTTTTGACCACCAAAGTTTCTGAGTGAGGGAAGTATGAATTTTAAATGGTTTCCATTATTCATTTCTATGTGGCATATAAGGTCCCATGAATCTATGAAGCCTCCTAACCCAGCACTGATTGCCTCTATTCTTTCAAAATGGGCTCTTTTCCTTCCATGGATCAAGAATTTAGTTTTGTGTGCCATGTTGCCACAGGAGATTTGTAAAGAGATTGGTCTAAGCTTCTTGTTGGTATTCATCAAGAAATTTTAGGGAAATGTTTATATCAAAACCTGATTCTCTGACACATCTCTTAGAAGTGAGCCCAGCAGGGATTTTACCCTGTGTGAAGAGAATGTAGGAGTCTACATATAGATGACACACTGCACTTGTAATGAATGTAGGTGTCTGGGTATGATGACCCAGTAAAGAAAAATTCCTGTATTGTACATGAAATGATTCAATAAATGTATAACGTTTGGTGTGGTGGTCTTGATCATACAAGACCCTATGGACATAAATATGGCCTGCAGCTATGGTTACAAAAGTATATCCTCGTGATTCAAAGTCAATTTACATCTTTAGGATTTTCAATCCCACAAATTTTTATGAGAAGAATGCATAGTAGCAGACTATCTGAATTCACTAATTATTAAATGGGCCCTGATTTAAGTGTGCAAGCACAGTATGTGTTAGGTGGTTGAGATCCCTTTGCAAAGCTCATGTTACCATGGTTTGATTACTGTGTTGCTTCAGCAGTGGTAATCAATAACCAAATAATAGTTATGAAAGCATTGCTGCAACATTAAAACTAATCCCCCCACCTTAATTTTTTCAAGGATTATGTGGCTGAGTTAAAGAGGCTTAGGGATCACCATGCCAAGGAGGCCAAGGTCAAGAAATTCCTGGACACTGAAATTGTGATGTATGAGAAGAAAATGCAGTGGCACAAGTTGGGCAAGGAAAGAAAGCAGGTATCGTTAAAATTTGAAGTATTTTTTAGCATTTCTAGTGAGCATAATTAACTGAATTTTTGCAGTGTAATTCCAATAATTTTCTAAAGTTGAATCAGTAGTGCGAATTTCTTCACTGTATTAAAACTATTTTTGCATGTAATGAGAGAAAATTTAATTTTTGAAGAGTTGCTATTGGCTTTTACTAACTTACCATGTTTTAACCCATAGAATGTTCCTCATGATTATTATTTCATGATTCAATTTTGTGTTACACCCAATTGCATAAGTCTGCAAAATAACCTTAGCTGTGCCATAACTTTTCAGTTAACGGAAAGGCTGCAGCGATTGGAGGAACTCCTAGAAACTACTAGTTGTCTTTGTTTGCGTGATGAGCTTGAACAAATGAGGCTTTCAGTTCACCAGGAAATACATGACGTTTTGTTGGAGGTGTCTCAGACAGAGATGTCCGTTGTTGAACTCAAGAAACGCCTTGTGACGTGCCAAAAATCTCTGGCACTCCTCATCAAAAATATTGAGGTGAGATGGAACTATCAGTCTTTCCTGTTAATTAAGCCTCCAAAAAACTCCTTATAATGAAATATATATCTGTGTGTTACTTGTGTGTATGTTTTTGGATGATAAAAGACTTAACTCCAAGTTATTGTAGTCATTGGAATTAACATTTGATATGAACAATTTTATCCTGTTTTAAACACATGCTAAAGTGGCGCTGAATAGAAAGCTGCACAGCCAAATAACTCATTGTCCTTCTTTTTACAACCATTTCATCTGCTCCCAAAACAGCTCTTGTGCACACTTACTTTGCTATCAATTAATTATGGTATAATGTACAGGATGACGACAAATTAGCAGCGAAAATCATGAAACCTGCAAAGAGTGCGACCCTAGAATCGTCCCCGTGGCTCATGCTGTGTGAAGACAACACTGGTCTTGACGCGCACTGCAGTGCCTTGCCCACCAAGACGCTAAGCCAGTTTGGTGGGTGCTAAGCTTACTGCTGCTATGCCATAAGCTGTTAATTATAAATGAACTGTAAGGATGGCGTTCATTTAATTTTTGTTTGCTATTTCTTTTTATATTCATAAACGTATTCACTGGTCATTTATCATTTGATGGTTTTAAAAATTATATTGACATTGGCAGTCTTGGAAATTTTTTGAAGTTTTTGTAAGCTTCAACTTTTGCTTAACTTACATTTACCAATGCATTAACAATTTCTAATTTTTATATATGTTTTAAATTTTAGTGATGGGATTGTTCTAAATTGCATCATTTATCAGAAATCGTATAAAATTCCCAAAACCAGTACCCATGGTGGCTTCTTCTTCGTTTTGAATTTGATCTTGATGAACTTGTTGCTTTCTTGAAGAACTTGTTGCTGTCTTAATGAACTTGTTGCTGTGTTGATAAACTTGCTGTCTTGATGAACTTGTTGCTGTGTTGATGAACTTGTTGCTGGGTTGATGAACTTGTTGCTGGGTTGATGAACTTGTTGCTGGGTTGATGAACTTGTTGCTGTGTTGTTGAACTTGTTGCTGACTTGGTGAACTTGTTGCTGTGTTGTTGAACTTGTTGCTGTGTTGATGAACTTGTTGCTGTGTTGTTGAACTTGTTGCTGTGTTGATGAACTTGTTGCTGTGTTGGTGAACTTGTTGCTGTGTTGTTGAACTTGTTGCTGTGTTGTTGAACTTGTTGCTGTCTTGGTGAACTTGTTGCTGGTATTAAAGTTGAAGTTATAACTGCTGTGCTTGGTTTGTCAGCCTGGGACCAGTCAGCGGAGTACGTGAAGCTCTACATCGACGTGCCTGGGCTGAGCGAGGCGCACGGCGGCAGCGTGAAGACCACGTACAGTGAGCGGCAGTTCAGCGTCCTCGTCACCGACGTCGCGGGTCTCAACTACAAGTTCCATGTCGGTGACCTCACTAACGCTATCGTCGTCAAAGAGAGCAAGTTCAAAACTAAACCAGGTTTGTTTTGAACATAAATGCAGATTATTAATGATATGTGTCAAGTTTTTATTGATGAATTGTCATATTATTTGATATGTAACGATTATTATCATGAGCTGACCGGATTATGAAAGCGTAATCCTGTCCGCAAATGCTAGACGAGGCTTCAGGATTAAACTAACAATCAGCCCAGAACAATTCGCCGTACTGATGGCACTGCGCGTGCCTTGGTTTTCGTGTGTCCTGTCACCGCCGCTCGTTTTAAGGTAGCTTTGCGGATCGTAAATTATGAGCTCTTACTTTATTATCTTCTTGAAAACAAGGATATTTCGTGACTTCAATATTCTCGAATTCTATAATCATGCGGATATGTGGATGCAATTCGTTCCTTTAGTCGTTCTGAGCTCCAGCGCTCAAATTTCCGGCAAGTTAAGAGATTACATGTCATCCTCATCCTAGTCTAAAAATTTCTGCATTTTCGGGTGGTTGCAAAAAATCCTGAACTGTTCGGGTTATTAAATGGACACTCTGATGCGATGTCATCCGTACTTATTCTACGTAGTTATTGTGTTGAGATAATTTTTGAATTATTATTACTTTCCTCATTCTTAGTAAATGTTTTAAAGTTAGGATTTTGAAAGTTCTATTGTTAAACAATTTTTTTTTCCTATTTATTCATGTTTTGCAAAATTCCTGAAATGAATAATTCCAATCATCTTGCCCTTATTAATTGGCAAGCGTTAAGAGGTATGATGCATCAACTTATTATTACTGTACTATTTTTAAGCATAGTGTGTCATCGACAGGGTCTTGTGACATTTTAACAATCTATTTTTACCATGCGTTATGTCATGTCATGTCGGAATGTAAAACTCTTAATAATGTAAAAAAATAGCATTTTGTTAAATGTAAAAAACAGCGTTTTTGTAAAATGTAAAAACAACGATGTCAATAATCGTCATTAATTATGAGTGCCTTTTTTGTGCAGGCCGCCTTGTGGTATTCCTTAAGAAGCAGACGAGCGCAGACTGGCCAGACCTGAAGAGAAGTGGTTCTGTAGAGAAGAAGGAAACAAATGAGCAAGATGAGCGACAGGTGCAAATCATCTTAAATGAAATGCTCGCCATCGGTGCCCAGGCAAGAAGACTGACAGGGATGAATCACGATAGGAATTCTTTCATAGTAGCGAACATTGAAATATTGAATAATTTCATGTCGTATCGCACATGTGGGGTTTGTATATTTTTATTGTGAATTTGGAACTAGGCAAATGTTGCAATCTCATGCAAGGGATCCGGTGTCATGTTTGTGCGTCGAGCCTTGCGTTTTGAAAGTTTGGCTGATGAAGTCTCATTCATTTACTGCCATTGAAGTTGTATCCAAGGAAAATATTGAAATCTTTAGTAACGCATCCGGTTCCATGATTTTCAGGTTTTTTATCCATTGACTTTTCTTGCTCCCCCGCTCACGACGACCAAAGTGTTTCATCTGTTGAAACAGTAATTAGATTTTCTCTCATACTAAAGATAACATTAACTGTCAAATGAAGTGAAAATTGCTTTTATGAATTGCGAATAATGTATCTAGATTATTGAAAGCGTTGAATTCAAACTATTTGTAACAATTTACAAAAATAGTAACTTATGTAAATCATCACTGTTAATAGGAGAGATGGGCGCATGACCAATCTGAAACAAACCATTGTTGATTGTTGCTGTCATTTGCAAGCCCAACACCCCCCCCCCCCTCACAGCCTTGCCAGCCTAAACTGTCATATTTAGTGAACTTTTTATGCAGTCTCGCTTAAATTATGCAAAATACTCGCCTTTTTTAGTACATGTTCGATTACGGGACGTTTAGTCCAAATAATTCATGGTTTTAGATTGAATTTTATACTTGGAGCATGTTCTCAATGTTCATCTGACGGAACAAATAATTTGATTAAATTGATTTTCAGAATCAATTGTTATTGTGCGAGTCTCCCGGCACAGTGTCCTCGCTCACGTGTAGTTTCTTGTAACGTTCCAGACGCTTGGATCACCCGTCGAATTAGGGGACCTCATGTGGAAGAACAAGTTTTTCTCAATTACGGACACCTCTTCAGCCAAAAAGGCCTTGGATTTGATGGAAGAGCTGCCTCCCAAATTCTGCCAGGTTTGCTGGCTGGATAAAACTGCAGGTTCAGAAAAAATTCTCAAATCTGCTCTTCTTGCGGTGGCGAAAACTGATGCATACGTTAAATGGGACTCGATTGTTTCTATAGATGTCGGGCATAACTACAACTTTGACGACGAATACCTGCAACTTCTTGTGAACGGCACGTGAGTAATAAGTGTAACTGTGGAATTCCTGTAATGCTTATGAAGTGATCAAGTCTGTCCTAGTCTTGAAATACTCTGTGACCTCTTCATTGCTTCTCACCACATCAATATGACTGATATCCTCTACTTTTGCTTCCTTGCATCTTTATATCATTGTTGAAGCAAACTTTGTCTTGTTATAACTATGTAGTTATAAATATTGACAAATAATATTGAGGCTGTGGCTATGACCGTGCGTTCAAATATATAAAATATATTCATGGCTTCTGTATATATACTTTTATGGTTAATTTAAGCAGGTTTCTTTGAAGACCAGAGAATTCGTTTTATTGACCACTTTCTTATCAGCCTTCTCAATAGATCGAACAACATTTTTCTTTGACACTGGTAAATCGAAAATCAGAGTACCGATGGACATTTTTATTTCTTTAACGACGTTTCAAATGTATCAATCATTCATTGTCAAGTTACAAGACGCATTGAGTGATGGAATTTGGTTCGACATAAGTATAAAATCATGTAAATAGAATACTTCTCAAAAACCAAATTGTTTGAAATAATTACAAAATGACAAAAATATGCAGATAATGAAGAATTAAAAACACCAAAAATTAATCCGAAAACAGTCTCAAGGTTCCGACAAATCCAGCAGATTGAAGGTTGATGGCTGGTTTTATGGTTTACATACCCATATATGGTTTCAAATTTTATAAAATATAAGCTTTGAATTCAAGTGATGGCAGTTCTTTAGACTTTGAACGAGGTTTACCTCCGTAACTATGATGAGAATTAAAGCATCATTATGAAATTTCACTGATGATTAAATCAAAACATGGCTGAATCTCATTGAAATTTGGCGAGTATCGATTACTTTGTAACGTCATTACCAATTGCTGGCTGTAAATTATCATCTCGAATTTTCAGTTGCAAATTTCTGTGGTTTTACGGGCGTTTGAGTGCCTCCGGTCTGTCATCACTACCATCTTCAGTCGTCCATTTCATCGCCATCGTCACGTGCGCTGATGACTTCAACGCTCTTGCTTCCTGTGCGGCCTCGTTCATGACTCTTGGCGAGTTGGGTCTTGTCAGCCAAAGTACAACTTTTTAAGCATGATCACTTGCCCCATTCATCATTAATCTGCATATTAAATGGCGTATTATAGCATGCTATTGTGCACCGTGATTAAACCATTTATAAAAGCAAGAGCTTTTTAGACTAAATTTCACAATTTTACGTTCATTATGTTGGGAAATTCTAATTTTGCCACTACAGAGTTAAGTAGCCCAAATTTATTTATTATTTTAATCTCTCACAATTTGATGTAGTATATACCGTATATATATACTTTTCCATATTCGCTAGCCTTTATTTCGGTGAAGTGCTGCTAGCTCAAACTAGCTGTGCTATGTCAAACTAACTATTCTTGGTCAAACAAATTATACTAGTTGTAAATAACTGCTAGTGCTAGGTCAAATGAACTATGCTAGATTAAACTAATAACTATGCTAGATCAAACTTACTTTGCTAGATCAAACTAACTATGCTATATTAAACTAACTGTGCTAGACTAAACTTAAGGGGACCGGCTACCCTAAAATTTTCAATTTTGGCGTTTTTCGGTTTTTGTGCTCATCGGAAAGCTGGAATTCTGCTCTTTCCAATGGTACCACTGCCATCGCTGTACGCCAATATTTACGTTCATGACGTCTCTTTAAAGGGAAGCGGGTGAGAGAGTTCTTTGGTGCGCTACAAGTTGCTGCTAGCATCCTTGAGTGGATTAGGCTACAGAAGCCTGTAGTTTGGTATCCATGCTACATTGAGTGCCTATTTCGAGGTGCATGGGACTTTGTCGCGCCGTCCTGAAAAGTTTGAAAAGTTCAACTTATCGTCACGGAAAACCTATCTCCTCCTACAGTTTTCAAGCTACAGCAATGAGACATACACCATTCGATTCATAAGGAAATTACCTAAAAATTTGATGATCATTTTTTTGAATTTCTGTCTGGCTCGTTTTTTATATGGGGAGAAGGGGGGGGAGGGGGGAAAAATGAGAAAAATGGGATAAAACGCGCATAAAAAACAAACTAAGGGGAAAATGAAAAAAGTGATCATCAAATTTTTAGGTATGGTCCTTACGAACCGAGTGATACGTGTCTCGATGTTGTAGGATGATATTTGTAGGAGGAGATAGATTTTCTTAAGTACCCCTTTTTAGCCGTTTTCTATGAATTTCACGTTTTCTATCAATTTTTTCGAAAAATTCATCTAAGCAAAATGTTCTTATTTTTACATTTTACGTATGTATGTGAAGTGTCATGATGATCGGATAATAACTGTAGAAGTTTTTCCGGAGGGTAGCCGGTCCCCTTAATGCCACTAGATTACTTGAATCGCATTCCTAGGTTGCATTCGCATTCCAACAAAAAATTATTCCTAGATCAAACTAACTATGCTAGGTTGTAACTTTTTTTTTGTAGATAAATGCTCCACTCATAATGAACTAGATACACTGAACTCGATACTCACAACAAACTCAATACACAGGGTTTGTACAGGTCATGGAAAACCTGGAAAGTCCTGGAATTTGATTTTTCATTTTCCAGGCCTGAAAAGTCATTGGATTTCATTTCAGGTTATGGAAAGTCATGGAATTTGCTAATAAAAGAAGAAAAATGAATTGTTTTTCTGTGCTGCGTGTGTTAAACTGTTTGTTCAGTCTCTTGTTTCCTGCGTTCTGATCGGTTCTCCAATCACGTGAGCTCGGTCACCGAGCTCAGTTGCATTGGACAACTTTTTGATGTTTAGTGGCAGCGTTCCATCTTCAGAGTGCAATTTCCACATCACCATGCCTGGAAAGTGTAAATTTCATGACTTGTGGCTAAAAATAGAAGCTTATTGTGACTGGCTTGCTCGCCATCCAAAGCATGAAGGTATGGCGATATGTACATTGTGCTCGAAAGACTCCGATGTGTCAAATATGGGGGAAGCAGCTTTGAAGAGCCATGCCGCCTTTGAAGAGCTATGCATTTACACGTTTGCTATTTATCAACTGTAGGAAATGATAGAATATGCACGATTAGTCTTTCAATCATGCTAAACCTGTCTTATACGAGTCTTGAAAAATTATATTGATGGTCATGGAGAGTCATGGAAAAGTCATGGAATTTTTTCTAAATACCGGTACGAACCCTGAATACAAGCTCGACACTCACGACAAACTCGATACTCACGACAACGCGATACTCAAAATGAACTGGATACTCACAATGAACTCGATACTCACAATGAACTCGATACTCACAATGAACTCGATACTCACAATGAACTCGATACTCACAATGAACTCGATACCCACAATGAACACGATACCCACAACAAACTCGATACTCTTAAACTCGATAAAATTCACTAGATTCGCTCGGTTCTCAATGAACCCAGTACTCACGATGACCTTATTACTAACTAAAAATATTGCTCACAGAAATCTTCATCCAGCGAAGGTTTCCATTGTATGACATCAACCCGTTGCGTATCTCTGCCAGCGAGAAGCCCGTCACCATTATCGTCTCGGACATCAATGATGATGACGTTGACTGGCTCTTGAAGGCCACTGATCGCTTCCTACCTACAAGGTAACAATGAACGTTTGATGTGCAGTGCTTATTAACGATATTGATTTACGATGATATTTATTTAGATTAAGCCTTCCAGTGCTGTTGGAATTTCCTACTGGGCGTTTTATCGTGTTGCATTTTATCTCGTCTTGATCTCGTGTAAACGCTAATCGTCTTTATTTTAGTCTCCATCGTTAAGGAATTAGTATGAAAGTTCTACGAACGTAAAAATGAGGCATTCAGAAAAGACGGCATTGAGATGCAGTATGTATTTTTGACTAAGTTATTAAAAATAGTAACGTCTCTACACGAAGTTATTCTTTCACTTGAGAATCTTGATATTAGAGTTTATCATTGTGGCATTCTTGTCAAAACGTTCTGTGTAAGAGTTGGCATTATTTTTTAATTCTTAGCTAAAAATCCATTTTCAATTGTAATTTTTTTATACTATCGATAATTACAATTCAAAGCATCAAAATTTGATTGCTGTAGTAAACTATTTCTTTTGCAATTCTAAAATAATACATTCAGTCGAGTGCAATCCATTCTAGCTGTACGGATGTGTGTCATTGATCAATGTTATTATGTTATATCACTTATTATGTTATTCTAGCTGTATGGATGTTATTATGTTATATCACTATGATTAAATCATTGTTGAAACAAGACTGCCATTTTATTTTTATTTTTGTGTCGATCATTTACTGTTTAAGCTGTTGCATTATAAGGTCGGCATACTATGGCTTCGTGGTCCAACATTCAATCTTGCAGAGATATTGTTGTATTTTATGGCCTTCATCGAGGCCAACGAGATATTAAAGCTATCTCATTAAATTTATAGGGTCCAGGGATCATGTACGAGTATAATTATGTTTAGGCTATTTTTGTGAAGGTTGTATTTTGATGTGAATGAACTTTTCAGTACGCTGCCCAATGGCTCACAAGTGATTCCGGCCTGGAAACTCACTCTGTTGAACAGTCGTCTGACGATGTCGGCTCACCGCTCTCTCTGCCTCGACCTGAAAGCCAATCTTGTGCTCGTTGTTCTCTCCAATGTAGGGGGCAGTTTCGACGTAGCCTCCTTGGCAAGAATTTACTCCCAGCGACAATGTAGGCTGGTTGTCTTACCCCCTCAAGATCCAAATGCCCTCCCAAATATATCTGTTCCTTTCGAATAAAAATTTAAAAGCAAAGAACATTCCACAGAAATTCATGTCTGTATAGAAAACTTTTCGGAGTCATGCCCCATCGCCAGTTCGTAAAATTTAGAATTTATAGAAGAAATTACTAATTAATACAATTGAATATCACAGAGCAGAGTTTGAAATCTAAATTTGCAAATAATAGACAGATCACGAAAAACTGTCTATTCAGAATTTTTAGGGGATAGGAGCTAGCAGCTGAATTCAAATTGGGCCTATATTTAAAAATGTACTAGGATTCTAAAATGCGCAAATCGGAAGTCCCGGAGGTGGAAACTAACACCCTAAAGTCACTGTCAGAAACAGGCACAGCACACTGCTCGGCGTGAGCGCGCACAGCCGAATGAGGTGGGCGCGATAGCAACTGTCCGGTTCTACAACTCCTGCCCTTATGCTCAGAGACCCTGGAATAAAGATTGCGTGACGTCATCCCGACGTACGCAGATGCACATCGTGCACAACAATATTGATAAACCAGGGACGTTCGCATATGAACAGGGAGCATATCTTTATATCTAAAGAAATAACCGATTTTGAAATTGTTTACCAGCACAATATGAAGATTGACATTTGAGAAGTATCTATTGAACAAGACTTTCAATTCCCTCGACATAGCTTCGGACGCAGGGCTGAAGTATGGAAAATAACAATAAACATCGTTCCTACTACTGCGCTCGGGAGCAACCTCACTGTATCGCTTCGACATGAATTTCTTGATTTGGGTAAACACCATACTTGCCGGAAATCCATTAAGAAAGAAAATATTGCGTAAAAATTCAAATTCAACGTGCATAGCATGGTATGTAGAACATAAGCGAAAGCATCTGTGTAATAATGTTTGAAGCCCATTAAACTTGAATCGGAATGAACAAAAACTAAAGGAGCTGGTACTTAGACCGGTGAATGCCGGTTTTCGGAACACAGAAGTCAGAAAACGGCCATTAGATTTGGTTACATTGCAATCGAGGAAGGATTAGCTATTTTTCGATTTCGGCGTTTTGTATCTTTCAATAGTTTGTTCTTCCTCGGTTGCAATGTTACCTAATCTAATGGCCGTTTTCTGATTTTTGTGTTCCGAAAACCGGCATTCACCGGTCTAAGTACCAGCTTTTTTAGTTTTTGTTCATTCCGATTCAAGTTTAATGGGCTTCAAACATTATTACACAGATGTTTTCGCTTATGTTCTACATACCATTCTATGCACGTTGAATTTGAATTTTTACGCAATATTTTCTTTCTTAATGGATTTCCGGCAAGTATGGTGTTTACCCAAATCAAGAAATTCATGTCGAAGCGATACAGTGAGGTTGCTCCCGAGCGCAGTAGTAGGAACGATGTTTATTGTTATTTTCCATACTTCAGCCCTGCGTCCGAAGCTATGTCGAGGGAATTGAAAGTCTTGTTCAATAGATACTTCTCAAATGTCAATCTTCATATTGTGCTGGTAAACAATTTCAAAATTGGTTATTTCTTTAGATATAAAGATATGCTCCCTGTTCATATGCGGTCGTCCCTGGTTTATCAATATTGTTGTGCACGATGTGCATCTGCGTACGTCGGGATGACGTCACGCAATCTTTATTCCAGGGTCTCTGAGCATAAGGGCAGGAGTTTAACTCCTGCCCTTATGCTCAGAGACCCTGGAATAAAGATTGCGTGACGTCATCCCGACGTACGCAGATGCACATCGTGCACAACAATATTGATAAACCAGGAACGTTCGCATATGAACAGGGAGCATATCGTTATATCTAAAGAAAGAACCGATTTTGAAATTGTTTACCAGCACAATATGAAGATTGACATTTGAGAAGTATCTATTGAACAAGACTTTCAATTCCCTCGACATAGCTTCGAACGCAGGGCTGAAGTATGGAAAATAACAATAAACATCGTTCCTACTACTGCGCTCGGGAGCAACCTCACTGTATCGCTTCGACATGAATTTCTTGATTTGGGTAAACACCATACTTGCCGGAAATCCATTAAGAAAGAAAATATTGCGTAAAAATTCAAATTCAACGTGCATAGAATGGTATGTAGAACATAAGCGAAAGCATCTGTGTAATAATGTTTGAAGCCCATTAAACTTGAATCGGAATGAACAAAAACTAAAGAAGCTGGTACTTAGACCGGTGAATGCCGGTTTTCGGAACACAGAAGTCAGAAAACGGCCATTAGATTAGGTTACATTGCAACCGAGGAAGAACAAGCTATTGAACGATATCGAACGCTTGAATCTAAAAATAGTTAATCCTTCCTCGATTGCAATGTTACCAAATCTAATGGCCGTTTTCTGATTTTTGTGTTCCGAAAACCGGCATTCACCGGTCTAAGTACCAGCTCTTTTAGTTTTTGTTCATTCCGATTCAAGTTTAATGGGCTTCAAACATTATTACACAGATGTTTTCGCTTATGTTCTACATACCATGCTATGCACGTTGAATTTGAATTTTTACGCAATATTTTCTTTCTTAATGGATTTCCGGCAAGTATGGTGTTTACCCAAATCAAGAAATTCATGTCGAAGCGATACAGTGAGGTTGCTCCCGAGCGCAGTAGTAGGAACGATGTTTATTGTTATTTTCCATACTTCAGCCCTGCGTCCGAAGCTATGTCGAGGGAATTGAAAGTCTTGTTCAATAGATACTTCTCAAATGTCAATCTTCATATTGTGCTGGTAAACAATTTCAAAATTGGTTATTTCTTTAGATATAAAGATATGCTCCCTGTTCATATGCGGTCGTCCCTGGTTTATCAATATTGTTGTGCACGATGTGCATCTGCGTACGTCGGGATGACGTCACGCAATCTTTATTCCAGGGTCTCTGAGCATAAGGGCAGGAGTTGTAGAACCGGACAGTTGCTATCGCGCCCACCTCATTCGGCTGTGCGCGCTCACGCCGAGCAGTGTGCTGTGCCTGTTTCTGACAGTGACTTTAGGGTGTTAGTTTCCACCTCCGGGACTTCCGATTTGCGCATTTTAGAATCCTAGTACATTTTTAAACATAGGCCCAATTTGAATTCAGCTGCTAGTTCCTTTCCCCTAGAAATTGTGAATAGATATTTTTTTGTGCTCTGTCTATTATTCCCAAATTTAGATTTTAATTTCTGTTCTGTGACATTCAATTGTATAAAATTGTGATTTTTTTTATATGAATTCTAGATTCTACGAGCTGGCTATGGAGCTGGACTTCGAAACGTTTTCTATAGAGATATGAATTTCTGCGGAATTTTCTTAGCTTTTAAATTTTCTAGTAAACTTGCGATTTAAGCAAACCAGCGACATTAATTCCTTTCGATTGATTTGTGGTACAACCATGCATCCTTAACTCCGTCTTCTCTAGTACTTGTTTCCTTAAAGTTTGAACTCGCTCTACAATCAATGTGCTGCAAAACTTTCTGTAATGTTTGTTCCCTTTGATAATTTGATTCCATTCTTGGCATGCAGCATTTGAACTCCTTTTCTTCGTCTTGCATTATCGCTCATTTCCCCCCATGTTTTTCACTAAATTAAGGTACTTGACATCATCTTGAAATGGGAATGATTTTGTTCATTTGTGTGCCTTGGAATAGTTGTGAGGAAAGAATTAGTTCACTTCTGTATCTGCGCGCACTTGTCTTGTTGCATACCGTACTTCCGGACGACACTGTGCTTCAGTTTGGAGTATTGAAATATTTAAGAAACCCTAAGTCTTTGAGATGCGTACCAACTTTTGCAAATATAAGTTTTATTTTAGGTGGCACGTGTTGAAACAAGTATATTTTATTAGTGTTGACTGATACAGAGATCTATACTTAAGAAAATATTTACTTGATCTCCTTCAAATAAGTATTTTATATTGAATTAGATCCGCATTTTTTATAGAAAGGGTGTTATTGTTCAGAAGGGTGTTATAGTCATAGTCTTCAACATCTTCATGGCGTTTCGTAAAGCCGTCTTCTATAAAGAGTTACCGTTACCATGCTGTTCACATCCATCGCAAGAGGTTTAAAATCTTGAAGCTGCGTTTTGAATTATTTTCACACTATTATTTCTTGTATCTGGTTATAATTAAGGTAATCCTGCCATATCTATCAATTTGGGCTGTGCACAGGTAGTACGCGCTACTAAAGTCTTTTTTAAAATTAGGATAACTTATTTAGCACGCATTCGGCATGGACTCGACACCTTCCGGCCAATTTGCTCGAATTAATCATAATCACTGAAATGTGAGTAGCTAATCAGCAAATGGGGTTGTTTTGAGCCGTTGAACAAATTTCTCAAGTGAATTTAAGTATGAATAAGAATTATTGTTCGAACGTTTCATTCATGGTATCATCGACAGCGATTATTTGAAGGCAAAATGGATAAGTTAAATATTTTCGACCAAGCCGTTTGCGTCACCACTAGCGATGCCGTTTTTCATCAGTGCAATGGTGGTGACGTTTAGGGTGCTGGCACTTTAGTATTCGATAGACGTTCCACACTATCAATCTAAGATTAAGCGAACCAAGATCCCTGTTATCCTTCTCGCTTACTATATGCTTAGGTCCCGACTATATATAGCCAATCTTCGTTACAGGGTAAAGACCGTGCCAACAGGCTTAATGCCTTACTATTCCTATGCCTTGATGCAAAATATATCAAACGTGGCGCTAGTACACGTAGCTCAGCAGATGAAAATTTGTGCACCAGTAGATAATAAGAGAGGAAAAAATCTAATTTTATACTAAACGGGGAATTTAAAGGGAGGTTGTGAAGTTGTGGTATTGTTGTGTGTGTATTAGAAGTTGTGGTTCAGCTTTTTGTAACGCGTCACAGCTGCACTATTGATGCAAAATCTGAATCAATGTAGTTTTAAAAAGTTTCCTCAGCCCCGCGTAAAATGTCAGGCTGCTAAGATACAGACTGGAATGGATCTTTTATAGATTTAATGTTGTTGCAAGTGGAGTTGTGTTTGTAGCCCAACTTTTAGGCTTTCATATGTTTGTTAATAACCTCCATATTATGTTTTCCTATTATTTCAATATTACTAAGCTTTCATTTTCTCTCTAGTCAAACGTGGAAGTACAATAACGTAAATAAGTGAGTTCACAAAAATCAGTAACATAATTTATATGTCAACTTTCCATTATATCATTGATAATGTTACCGACCTTGGAATCTTGGTTAGCTCATCCCCTGCTGGAAGTGAGTGGGTGATATGACATTCATATAGTTAAATGATTCAGATTGGAATATTGAAATATTTAACCATTATTCGACGATGATGCTATTACAAGTTTGTCATCTATTTCAGTTATTTGTCCTTAACAAGTTCAGTTGATTGATTTTACTTCATTCATTCTAACTTTCAATTGATTGTGTTCAGTGTGTCTCACTTGTGGTGATTATATTTCACGTTAAAAGGATTCTTCATTTAGCTCTTGCCAGCGGACGAGTTTGCTTTGTTTGCCTTCATTCTTAAAGCAATGGTTCTGAGGTGTCATCAATAAGTTTTTTACCTTATATAGTATTTTTTCTGTTCGATAATATGATGCTTGTGCTATTTAAAATTGCATCTCTTAAATTCGATGAAGCCCAAGATGGATCTAATCATTTGTTTTTTTTGCAAGCTGCAGTCTATAACTGATAAGTTTTACATTCCTTCATGATTGATAAATTCCGTACCTGTACGTATCTTGTCCACGTTACGAATACTCATACTTTCACAACATGGTACAAATGTCCTTCGTGGGAGAACATTTTCCTGCTTCAAAAGAATGTAACGGAGAACAGGAATGAAACATGTTCTATATTTCTTAACACCTATTCCCGTACGATACTTTTACATATAAACTGCCAACCTGATTTGAATCAAAAATGCTTACTTTTCTTACATAGCTGTTATCCATACTCCCTAATGCTCCTTCTGTATATTTAATTATGCACCTTAATAACTTGTGTCTGCAAAAACTGTAGCCTACCTTCGTAATGCACTGATATTAAATTCATGATAGCTTTGGCCACTCTTCTGTATCATGAACTTCATTTTATCGGCAGCAATAAAAAAACAATTTTACTCCTATCATTATCTACTTATAATTTAAGTTCTTGCCAGCCTATGACGTAAAAGCGGACTTCTCTTGTTAGTCACCTGCGGGAGAAACGAGGCAGCATTGTAACGCTGTTCCCTCTCAGTGGTTAAGGAAGCGTTTAATGTTAATGAACCATTCAAGTAATAAATTTAATTTTTCACTTATATTCAATTACCCTTGATAATTATATCAAATTTCGATGTCCCCACCAGATGTTAGGGGATTTATGTTCTACTATGGGATTTGGGTTCCTAGGGAAATGTTCTTGAATGCATAAGAGCTCACGATGTCTGACTGCGGATCTTAGTTTTAGGGCTAAGTTGTGTAGCCAGAGCAGTTGCGGGGCTAAGTGTGTAGGTAGGATTCCATGCATTTCCCTTCAACTGTCTCTCATGCGGGCGGCCGCCGTCTTGTGTAAGCGACCTCTTTTCTACGACTGTCGTCGTTTCTGTGTCACTTAGCCTCGTTGAGAAGCTAACGCTTCTTCCTTTCCGACACAGCTTGATGGCCGCTTGAGACTTTCCGCCTTCTGTGGTTTAACGATTTTTAATTTGGAAATTTTGTTACAGTTGAAAACTTTCACCTCGTTGGTGACATTAAGCCTTGAATTTCGGTGCGAGATAACTAAATAGGTGAAGCGTTAGTAGACATTGGCCACAAAACTACCTAAACTAAACTGTATGCATGATTTATCTTCCACGTGTCCGGTCGTGCGGGCGTCTTCGTTTCTCTCGTTATTCCCCTTTTCTGTCTTATTCCTTCGTCTCTTTGAGTGCTGAAGCTGTTCGTTTCTAGGCTGCCTCAGCGGCCTGCCCACTTGAGACCTTCCTCTCCTTGCGGGTGAAGACCGCAATTTTGCGTTACTTGGAAAATTTTCAAGAATGAAGACTTTCTTCGACGATGATGCTGACCTCGTCGACTTCCGGTGTGAAACTGTTTTGATAGCTGGAGCTACAGTAAGTCATCTTATTACAAAACTATTTGTTATTGATCCAAAATTATTTAAATCAATGCCAGAAATTCAATTTGGTGATTATTTAAAATTTAGAGCTTTTAAAATTGTGCTTGTTTTTCTCAAATTAAGTTCGATTGAAATCATGAATGCGAATTCACTCGTGTCTCCAAGACAAAAGCGCTTGGTTTAAAGTTCATTATTGCAACGGTTTTTCTTTACTTCAAAATACAGAATTTATAATCTTCGTGCAATTTTTCTAGATTAATATGATAAGGTCCTTCCTGCATTATTCTCCTACATTAAATTAGGTCTACAAAGCAAACCTGGATCAGTTATCATCGAACAGCAATAAACACTCCCAACCACTGTTTAGGCTAGTATTTCTGCTGATGATGACTATAGTATCGACCAACCGCGTTATCAAACTACACATAAATGATAATGATGCCAATCATATGCGATACACCTTCTCAGTTGTCCATGGATGTCCTCGTCACCTCGAGGAACGGCACACCAGTCAATATTTACTTCGAGGTTACAATGTACTTATTGTGCTGGTCCTCGTGCAGGGCTTCGGCTGCTGTGCTCGGCCATTGAGTGCTTGAGTCGTCCGTCTTGTTACACCACTCGTGCCGTGGTTGCTGTGCACTCAGCACAAGTGAATGCCATATTATTCGAATAGAGACGCCATATTATTAGAATAGAGATAACAATTATTCGCCTGCACGTAGAAGTGACACGCTCTCTTGCAGGGCAACCTGGGTCAGGATGACTCACAAATGCACTCGTATCTATGAATGAAGGTAAGACGTTCGAGCCAACAGACTACGGTGTTGGCGAGTTATATAATCACTAACCTTCACTCGTAGAAATGAGCACAACTTTGTTCCAAATAGCGGTGTATATCGATGCTGCATTCGCGTTCATTATTTCAGTGTGTGATGCCTCCCCCCTTTGCCGCTTCCCTCCGTTCTGACATCCCTTGTATAGTCCCGGCATCAAGACCTGTGGTAGATTTTGCCTCGATACGAACACTTCAAATATTTTCGAAGTATTGCCCCTGGGAACGACATCGACGCAAGTTGTGAGCGATCATGATGACTGTCGTTCGTCTCGGTAAACTCGCGTGTACAACATGTGATCAGCTTCAAATAATTGGAACGGAATTCAAGATTAAGCTGAAGATCGCGATAATTTCTGTGCAAAAAAAGGGGATTGTTCTCTATTATACCTAATGCTGGTAGGCTTCTCAGTTGATATTCATAGCGGTATTATCACGTATCTTGACTGCTCACCATCTCGTATCAGATTGTCAACATGGTTTTATTGCCGGCAGATCCTGCACCACTAACTTATTATCTACGTTGAACGATTGGACTCGCCTGCTGGACGAAAGGGAGCCAGTATAGTATAGTATAGTATCTTCGGCATTAAATAAATAGGCCTGGATAGGCCTGTCGCCGATTCTTGTACTTTTCTTGACTAGACTGGCTTTACGGACGGAAGATATCAGTTGTTCCGTAGGGTACGAGGCATTTTAAGACTGAACATATGCTCATGCATGGCCTTGGCAGTGGATGCATTGTACCTCGATTTTGCCAAAGCATTTGACAGTGTTCCGTATGAGCGGCTGTTGCGTAAAGTGAAGTCCTTGGGAATTGAGGGAAACGTACTCCAATGGATCAGAGATTTTCTAGTAGGTAGACGACAACGTGTCAGTATTAACGGAACCGTGTCAGACTGGGCATCAGTGCGCAGTGGCGTGCCACAAGGAAGCGTCCTGGGGTGACTAGATAAAGCTATGGAAAGATATATGTTCAGATTTGAAATGCCTAGCTCCTTATCGAACCCGGTGGAAGTCTAGTAGCTGCTTCAAACTATCGTCAGTCATGAAAAGATCCGGTCAAATGGCACGAGTTTAGATCTATGAACAAGGCACGAAAAGGAAAGGAATCGGCGACAGGCCACATCAGGCCTACACTTCAGCGCCAACATCACTATGTTATGTTATGTTATCACTCTCTGGTAACCGCTGCTGTCGTCGATGATGAATAAATGTCATGAATTTGATTATCAGTTTTTTCTCCTGTCACTCGATCTATGATAAGATGATTCACATTTATAGTGTAAAGTTATTCGATATTTTTTGTTGTAGTAGAAGACTCGCTCTTAATTCATCTCGCTCATGCAGGAAAATTGGATTATTTTTTTATCTTAACACATTTATTACATCTGGCGACATGAAAATGAAAGCATTTCATTCTATTAAATTATGGAAAGATTTTCATGCTCCACCGATGGGAGAAACAAACACTTGACTGAAAAGCAACTAAATAATATTTCAAATGCGTATCCTCCTCACGAGCGTAAATCAATTCATCGAAATATTAGAAAGACAGTAAATATGTCACTGATTTCTTAAAGGCTATTACTTATCCTACTGCTTTTTTAACACTGAACAACATTATTATCAACATGGTTAATAACCAGCTTTATTACTTTTCTATCCTTTTTCATTCTTCGCCCCCGGCAGCCTTGGCTAGCCAATCTTATTTTTTGGACTTCTTCTTGCTCTTTTTCTGAGTTGGAGCGTCTGCGTTGTAGTCCTCGGCAGAGCCGTCGTCTTCGTTTTCGAAGTTACCGTCGCTCGCCTCGCTGCCTTGTTGAGCCTCCCTGGCATCCTCATCTTCCGTGGACTGGGCAGCGGACGCGTCATCTTCAACTGCTAACTCTTCGGTCGACGGAGATTTTGCCGTTTCTTGTGGGACGGATTCAAAGGGCGTTACCTCTTCCTCATTTTGGCCTTGATCATCTTCATGATTTTTCTGTGGAAATTCCTCTTTATCAGCATGTGCTTCTTCTGTTGCAGCCTCCACAGGTGTGGCTTGAGGTGAACTCTCAGGTTCAGAGGCAGCGTCCGTCTCTTCCTTACTCGGTGCTACTTCCTTGCATTCTTCAGACTTCGGTGCGCTTACAGCGACTACTTTTGGGGATGCCATTTGTTTTCTATCATTTTCGTGTCGAATTTTTGAAGATGTTGACTCTAATTTCTTCATCTGAAAGGCACCATTTTATGAAAAGTCATTCTGCATAAAAAATTAAAATAAAAAATGAGAACTATCCGTTATTCACATATCATGAGTTCATATTCTAATCACAACTTTCCTTTTGACACTTTATGGACGGATACATTTACCGTCGCTAAAACTATTAGTATATAAGGCATGGGACCGGGGATCCCGTCAATACACAAAAGATTAAAGTGGGATGACACTGCGATAGGTAACTTACTTCAATTGAGTCTTTGAGAAGTGGTTCGCTCTCTTTGCTGGTGGCAGCGGTCGGCCCTGAAAAATCCATAATACATGATTTGGAAATATCGACGTTCAGTTTCACAAGTTATACCGTCTTTTAAGAGCAGCGCAACGTCTTGCCATTTATTGCAGAATATTTTCTCATCTACCCATTTATAACAAGAACATATTGCCGCATCGACTTTTTTTACAAGACAATGAAATGAAGATTAGGTTGGGTTAGTTCAACTAAATTTTAATGCAGGCTATGCGTTGGCCACGCAGCAGCAATCATATTTGCAATTATTCTTCGAATGATATTTAATCAGATTATCAACCTGCTCAGAGGTCATTAACTTACTCAGATAATAAACTTACACAGATTATCACATCAGGCTGGAAAACTTACTTGGATTCTCAGGATCAGATTTCTGAAATGAAAAAATAGCAAATGAATAATCACTCTGAGAATTCCAAAAATCGTAGACTGGTACATCTCATCCGTTAATAAAAAATGATTTGTATATGATCATCAATAAATTTTCAACATGTCTCTGTAACAATTTAAATGGTACAAGTTTCAAAGGCTACACTTATATATCCACATATCAATAAAACTGAATATGAACAACTAATTATAAATTATTTTCATGTAAATTTATACAACGCTGTCGCTGTTATCAAGAATAAGAAAGAAAGGTGTCTTCTGAGACAGGTGGAGTCATATACGCCTCCTCTACCGAATATATATCGATGCGTACGGTGGTATTACCTAGCTTGATTACTTGAAAAAACTAATGTTAAAGATACATATTGGATATAGAAATATAGTCTTTGAAAATAAAAAAAATGAAAAAGAATCGCTGCTGAATTAAGTACCTAGAATTTTGAACTCTGCAGCGTATTTGAGTTTCAGGTAATTAAAAAAATGGGAGCCACAGTTATGAAGTCAATCCCTTAGGCAAGGTACGGTCAACACACTGGACAAGACTAGGTCAGCTCCCTAGCAAATTAAGTCAACACAGTGTACGAAACTAGGTCAATGCACTAGCAATATAAAAGCACGGCACTAGCACGACTAGGTTAAAGCACGGTACTGACCGAAGACTTCTGCGCTGTCTGCACCAAGCCAATTTCGTTGGTAACCGTCTTGGGCTCGCCGTGTGTGATCTTGCAGAGGTAGATGAAGACTCCTAACGCCACTCCTCCCACTATCACCCCGCCGATCTTGCCCGCAGCTGATGAAGCAATTCATGTTGAAAAGTAGAGCCTTTATTGTGAACGATGGGAAAACTAAACTCAGCAACTCGTTATTCAAAAATTTGAACTCCATTTATCAATTTTTATTAAAACAGAACGTCACATGCGTTTGACACCAGATTTGATAACACAGTTTTTTCAGTCGTGATACTGAAAAACGCATGCTATATTTAAGTACCTAACTCTCGTGGAGAAATATCTGGCTCTGAAGCAATAAGATAATTCGGTCTATTAACTGCCTTTGTGATATATTCTATGAAATGCAAGTGACTTATCTCTGAACTCACTTTTTATTCCACTTTTGTCATTGAAGGGCGGTTCCTCCTGCTGCAGCGGCTGGAAGTTCTCTGTCTTCACCTCGGACGTCAAAAGGCGCATCTAGAAGTATTTATTTTTGTTAAATATTTTCAGACTCCATAATCATTAATTATAATTAAATGAAGTATTTGTTGAAATAAAAACTTCCTGAACCTATGCAAAAGCGACAGGTCTCTCGATTGAAGAACAGGAAACTGAGAGCAAGAGAAAAGATGCCAGGTTTAAGACGGTTGTCAACAATCAACATCGTAAGTCTAGCGTTTTATTGACGTAAGAATCAAATTTCATACGTTAAAGGCTAACCAATATCCTAGATTGATGAGAGACTGAAATTGCAAATTAAAATAAATAAATGTCTATATCATTCTATTAGCCAAATGCGGTAATTGTAACAGGCCACAATAAAAATAGATGTACAACGCAACAATTTCTCTGCAACTAGTAATTTAAAAAAATGAAGCCACGAATGATGTCCATTGACAACATTAGGAGTGACCTTCAAGGCCCGTCCATAACCTGCACAAATTCGATGGACGCTGGCTCGGGAACTTCCGCTGGTCTGAACTCGGAGCAGAGGGTGCGGTGCGGCAGACCGACGCGCGTGAACATTGACGTGTCGTTGGCATGATTGCTGTAGTCGTGCAGCGGTCGGTAGATCTTTTTGTCGGCTGTGCGCAGCTGGATGTCTGCACAGCATCGAACTGACTTAGTATGAAGCTCAGAGGAATGTAATGTGACATCGACTCTAACAGAAACGGAACAACAAAATTGAACAAAAACCAGAAATAATTCACCTGTCGATGGAAAACAAGGTGATTGGAAGTGCGACCACTATTCTATTCTACCCATTAAACAACAGCAATAAATATTCTACCCTGCGATAAAAAAGCAAGTTGACTGAAAGTGCGACCACTATGAACCACATACCTATTCTACCCATTGAATAACACTATTGAACAACAACAACGCATATTCCATCCATCGCAAGACAATCAAGGTTCACGACGCCCTACAGTCTACACTAACTGGAGATGCAGCCGACAAATTGCGCCCACGGGGCGTCAGTTTGAACAGGATGATCACCGCCGCTGCCCACCACCAGCGCCTCCAACGCTGGGTCTGTCTTGGTGGCGAGAGGGTCGGAGGACTTCGCTGCTAAGCGCACGCCATCCAACTGATAACACATCAGGGCAAGTTACTTGAAGCGAGCTCATCAGCGTTGAGAAAAATAAATTGAAACTAAACTTCTAAATTTTAATATTTTTAATAATTGATTTGTTAGCACAACGAAGAACATTACTTAGGACTATTTAGCTGTTGAACATTAGATGTTGAAAACAACATTAAGCATTTGATCAATCAATGATTGGCCAACCTGAATGTCAAGCGTCCGATCTTTCAAAATGGCTTTGATGTGATGGCGGAACCCGTCACTGAGTTCAAAGTCGGAAACATCAAACTCGAGGATTTGGCCGTCCGGACTGTGATCGGAGTGCGGCCACTGCACCACAGCAGTGAGTGCTGCGCCGCTCTGACGTATTCCGAGCGTCAGCTGACCGTATTGCCTGCACATGGTTATGCCCTCGATAAGATCGAATAAAACCCCTCAAAAAATAAAACCGAATTGCGTAGTCAGCGCAGCAACTGACTCGGACGATCAATAGAACTCTTTGATTGTTATTTAATCAACAGGTTGTCAAAATTATTTCCCCATCTACTCGGACAAACACCACTTCCTATCCCTCTTAGTGGACAATATTCATAATCGTAAAACTTATTCTCACCAATGCCTTAAACCGTCATTTTTCAAATCATTGACTGTTTAATCACCTGGCGAGCGCCAGTTCTTCTACGCTGTCAGGTGAGTCACGGACGAGGAGCAGAGTCCTGACGACGTCGGCCTCTTCGCTCGGCTGAGTCCCGTCCAACGCGAAGGCGAAGTCCAGGGTGAAGCTCTGGCTGAAGACGTTGAACAGTTCCTGGAACGCCAGGTAGTCTTCCCCGCTGAACCTGTACGCCACCTCTGCAGTGCATCAAGTTTGTTATTACCTGTTCTAACTTTCTCCACCCGGGATTCATCAACATGACAATTGAACGAAAGTTTTTATCTAGGAACAACTATGGGACGACACACATTTTCGGAAAAGAGAAAGTGCTCGATAAAAACATGAAAGTCGTAATTTGCAAACAATAACCTATGCATTATTGCATAGGTTATTTCCAGTTTCCTGACCCTTGTCACATTGCTGCCCGACGTAGGAAGTTTCAGAGCAGTCGCATTCAGTGAGCAGCTTGCGTTTCTTGTCGAAGACGTTGAGACAAACGCCCTTGTTGCGGCAGGGAGTGCTGGATTCACATGGGGCGTAGCAGCCAAGCTCATAGTTGGTATGACCTGCCCAGTAGAGCTGAGCATTAACTTTTCAGAAAAATATTCAATTATAGTGAGCGAGGAAACAAAAACTTTTGCGAGGTGCAGGATAGGCTATACATTGGTTCATTTGAATCATGACAATTCAACATGACGCGATGAGAAGCTTTATGGATGAATGTTACGTGCAAATATATTTTCGGAACAAAAGTCTTTTAGGATAGTACATTGTAGGATGTGTTTTTTTCTAAATCGCACTTTTGTTTGCGAAATCATGTGACTGTAGCAATATTGTTAAGGGATGCATTGCAATGGTGTTTTATTACATTTAGGTATTCTGAATTTTGGGTTTAAGTCACCTCGGACGTGACCTCGTTCAGATAAGCTCTGCACTTAATCATTGCTGTGTGATCCACCACGGAGGTACGTGTTACTTTTTCATTTAGTCTGTTTATTATTGTGATAATTTTCTGTTTCAGTTCAGTTGTGGTATTTGGGGTTCATAGTTATTATTATCAGTCTATTATTTATTTATATTGCTTGCATAAGGGGGAGGGGGGTTCATAGTTATTATTATCAGTCTATTATTTATTTATATTGCTTGCTTTATATCCTGTTCTTGTTGTTTAATTATTGCTACTTCTAAATTCTTGTTTATTTGTTAATTTCAAAAAGTCTCCACATCTTGAGTCCAAAGTAAGATCTAGAGCGCAAATAGCATACAGTTACATTCATGACATTATTTGTATTTGTCGTTTATATATTATAGTTCTCATTTTTCATTTCTACTCATTCTTTGTTTACCACTATACCCACGACAATATATTGTTTCTTACCCATTAAAATGTAATGCAAAATAAATAGTCTGATTTTCATGCTTCATGTTGTTGAGTTTAGTTAGATAGGGATTGTATCCCAACTATATTTATTTTTAAATATATTGATTAAATAGATAATTAATTATAATAAAAATTAAGGACAGCAAACAATTGCGTCTCACTCCAGATCCAGACTGAGCGGTCGGTGAGTTTGATGGCGTGGGGGCCGATCTTGAGGCCGCTCAGGCAGCCAATGAAACCGGGGATCTTGGCGTGCATGCGGCTCGTTTCGGCGCCTCCCAGGAGCACCTGCAGCACCATAGATTTCTCTATCTAAAGGTTAATTTTGTGAAAGAATCATTCACAAACAATTTTTTTGACTAAATGAGTCATTCCTTGAAATTTTCAAGTGATAGAAATGGAAATTAGCTTTATTTAGGATACGAATGTGAGCGTAAAAGCTTGTTAACCCTCTAACATCACATTTGGTTTAGGTAATTAATACTTAGACTAAACTTACCATCAAGAAGGAGTCTTGCAGGGTGCGGGAGTTTTCATATCTGGTCAGGTCGGAATGGGGAACTTCGCTACCGAAGGGGAATTGCTGATATTGACGCTCTTCTAGGAGATCCACGCCTACTGACAGAGAAGCCGAGAAGTAGCGGCCTTGTGTCAGGACGAACAGAGTGGTGGCGTGACGTTCTCTCTTGAGGTAGAGCTGTACGAGGTCGCCCCGGTTCAGACCTGCAGCATAGAATACACATTGGAATGCATAAATTATGATTGATTTATGGAAGGTGAATTGAATTTGAGTTGTCGAAACAATGCATGATAACAGACACACACTGTGCCAAAATAGATGCTAGATTATGTACCGTGGACTATTGAAATCTGATTTATATATGATATAAAAAATTTTATTGTTTAGCATCATTTGACATCATCATATATTGCAGAAATTATATGAATAGCTTTCATTGATCGTATTTTCAAATGACTCTACGTGTTACATTTACTTTTACGCGTACTTTACAATCTTGTGACGCAACAACGACAAACAGTTTATTTGTAATTATGTGCAGTTTCAGAGGACAATGCCTTTGTTGGACGAAATGACAATGGACATTCTATCTGATACGTAATAGTTGATCGTAAAATATTCTAATATTTTGCTTGTATCTATGACTATCGATGACTGAATAACTATTAAAGGTATTCAGATTTCTTTACATTTTTTCAAAAATATTTGTTTGCTGCACATTTAGTGGTAAAAACAAGTCAAAAATTTCCCGATAAATAAATTGTTTTAAGGATAAATGGCCTGAAGGAGACAGTTACTGAGAAAATTAGCAGAATCTCGAGGGATAAGATTGTATAGGACTCAAGCATATTCCTCGGAATTGTCAATGTACAAGGATTATCGCGGTAATTGAAAATTATTCTTGACATCAAAACTCACGTATATCGCCAGTGTTGACAGTCATAGCCCTGAGTGTGAACCCAGTGTTCCAGAGCACAGTGACTTCATTGGGCTTGGCGAGATGAATCTGTATCAGGTTCTGGATATGATCAATTATAAAAACGAGTAGACCTTGAATTTCTCGAGTTCGGAAAGCAATAGTCAAGTTCTGGCTTAGAGGATTCCAGTCTTCTGAAGCTGGTTTGACTTCGTCTTTGTAGCGCATCTCGGTTTCGGTATCCAGAAGAGTGATGCTGTCGTCGTTCAGATCTGAAAACGCAAAATATAGTATGATGGTAACTGTAAAATCTGGACGCCTCACTTTAGTGAGGCATTCAGTTAAACATTGTCATGGAAAGGTGAATAGTTAAACATTGTCATGAAAAGGTGAATCCTGCGAATAGTGTAGGAACTTGCATGCGAATAAAACGTAAATACGCGACTGCCGATGATGGTCACTTGAAACTTTTAAGAGATGCTAATTCCGGAGATGAATCCTTTATTTCAAATCATTTCACGTTATGTCTGACTTCTCGTTATTAATAGAAAAATAAAAATATTAGTTATTTAAAAAGAAGAAAAAGTACAATTGTTGACTTTTCACAGTATGTTCCAGTTTTTGAACAAGTATGCTGTAGTTATCATGAAGTAGAAAGAATATAATAATTGGCCTAGATATTCGCGATCATGGGATGTGAATATCCCGCTGGGAGTATTTGAATGTCCAGCTGTTAGTATTTGAATATCCAGTTGGATTGGGAACTTTGAATAGTAAGAAGTTAGATCACATTGAATAAGATTCGAAATATCCCTCCATATCATACAGTAATCCACTGTTTCATTAAAAAACACTTACTATATTCACACTTGACGCCCCACTCAGAGAAGGTATTCTTGCACTCGCATTCGAAGTGCCCATTGGGCTTCTCGATGCACCGCGCTCCGTTCTGGCAGGGGTTCGGGTCACATGAGAGGCGGCAGCCCAGCCTGTAGTTGGTGGTGGGGGAGTAGCGCAGAAGCTCTTGGGTTGATATTTGTTCATCGTTCACCGTCACATCCTTCAGGCAGCCGATCAGACCTGGCTCTTTTGGGGCGCTGAATATCGGCTCGTGCAAGTCCCTGAAAACGACATGGTCTTGTACGCCAGTACATGTGCAGTAGCCCTATACCAGCCGTGTATACTGGTATACTGCTTTGATATACATGTATAGAAGATGGTGCTACTAACAAGTATACAACATGGTCGTATATACTTGTATACTGCTTGGTTCATATTGACCATTAAACGAGTTTTCCTCAATTTACAATTTACATTAAAGAGTTTTCCTCAGTTTACAACTTCAAAATTAATTTTCCCAAGATGAGTTAATGTTTCAAGTTTCAGTTAATGCCTTTTTCTCTGACCTAAATATTATTCACGTCCCTTAACCAACGCAACAATACAATACGCAATGAGCGACAATACGCAACGCTACACACCTAGGAGATCCACCGAAGTAGAATTCACCGCCAAGGATCTTGAAGGAATCGTCCAAATCGAGCAGCTTGACGATGCCATTCAGTGTTATCTGTATCTGCTCGGGGCTGAAATTCAGGCTGAAGTATTGCCACGATGCTGCGTTCAGGTCGAATGCGCTGCGGAATTTGATGCTCTGTTCCTCTGAGCGCAAGCGGAACTGCACTTCCAAGCTGCGTGCTGTAAGTGCATAGAACGAGTCAGAATATGCAATGAGTAGAGCACGTCACCTGTCGGTGTCGCAATGTGATTATTAGTCAACTTGTAACAACATAATTTTCTAGCAGATAAACTTGCATTCTATTATTTGCATTCAAGTTCGAGTCAAATTCATTGCATTGCATTTTGGATAGCATCCTTTACTAAATATTCACTCGAATACTTTTGCGTTGTACGCTGGATCGCAGATTTAGCCAGTTCTCGTTTATGTGTATAAATTATTTATATAAAATTCAACAATTTATCGTTATGTTTGATGTGCAGGTGGAGCCATTTGAATTTAATTAGAGTACAAATATTAATAGATTTTTAGTTTTGTATCAAGATATAACAGTGGAATAAATTCTTAAAGTTGTTCAGCCTTCTAAATATACACAATAAGCATATCCATCTACTGCATGAAGGATGAGGCCAATGTATTGAATATTGAACCTGGTTGCATCATTGGATTTTAAACCTATCAATACGAGTTCATCTGATGTAAACTTTCACAGTTTCACAGCTAGGATTTCACTATAAACAATATAACTCAGTACACAATGCAGTGAGTGACAAAGAGCGCATTTTTCTCGTCGACGAAAACGCGAAGTCACGGACGGACAGATAGACAGACAGACGGACGGACAGACGGACATTGCGAGCACAATAGTGCATTTTTTCCATAAATGAGAAAATGCGCTAAAAAATCACCTGACGTGAGAATAACCCGGAAGTCTGCCTGCAGATGATGGTAGGAAGGTTTGTGCAGCAAAACCGCAACGTGTGCAGAAGTGCGGAATGCGAAGCGAATACTCCGCAGATTTTCTCGCGTTTGTCGTGACGAGAACTCCAAGAAGCTCTCGCTGTCCAGCAGCGATACGGCGTCCTCCACTTCAGCTACAATAAGTCGTAAAATATTGTTCAACACAAGAATTTCCGTTATTAGTTGGCCTAAATATCAAATTATTCAGGATTTTAAAAGGAAAGAAAATGTCAGGTATATTGGCCATAACTTCCTTGGATGAAAGAATGAATTCATTATTGAAGCTTAGTGAAATAATAGTGAATTTTCTAGGCCTGTTCTACCTGAAATTCTAAATTAATTCAAGTCATCAAAAAAAATAAAGAGGTTTAAAGCTGACTATGAGTGTGACGCTAGCACAATTACATATACAATTAACTAAAACATATTATTTAAATGCGATTATTACATCACAAATGAAACTGAAGTTTTTTCGTTTCTTGACTCATCGGAATGTTGCAGGTCTGCAAAACAGAGCGTCCAGCGTTCCAACACAAGAAAATAAAGTCTTTAAGGTATTATCATGAATGAATAGAGGGAAACGGTGCCATTATTACTATGTTATATTCTACACAATTACACAATTAACCTCAATTGCCACGAAGCCTATAACATACGAAATTGTAGCTTTCTTTATTTCGATGTCATATAGTTTTGCTCTAAGGCAATGAAACTGCAAACGAACTGGTTTGTGGAACTCAAGTTTGGTGTTTCTTCAAAGAGCGTCACACTCGTTTGTGAAAGATTGGAAATTATCTCATTCATTAGAGTCTATAATATCATCTGCAGTATTTTCGTCGTCGCATTGGAAAATCTCAAGTCGTCATAGACGCAAAGACGGATTCTTCGGTGGATTTGACCTGCAGGTTTTCTATAAGATCTAATATATTAAGCAATATTATTCAAACATTGCAGTTTTGATAGAAACTTGTTCCGAATCGTTATCTCTTTGATTCAACACTGCTAATTGATTCAGCTAATTTATATTTTTCCATATAACTGTAGGTTTTTTGCACGATTATGTTTGTGTGCGCATCATGTGAAACACTCTTGATCAATTTATACCTGCGACTATAATGACCCACTCACGTTAAGCAGAGTGGGAGAATACTTGTATAAAGACTTGTAAAGATCCTATGCAAAAGAGACTCAACAAAGTGCGGAAAATTTAATTGTCGTATAAAATCATAACTATTTTCATAACAGACGTCATATTCAGCTACATTATAGTTGTGACGTCACACGACATAAACAAACGCTTCAAGAACACATCTTGAAGCAGGAATAAATTTGTATGATTAGGCTGTATAGTGGTACGCATAAATTTGACCAGTTTTCATATTCACGAAGAAGTTTAGTCGCTTGTCGTATCCACGAAAGTCCGTTTGGAAGCCTCGAAAATTAGAAAATACACACAGAGATTCTATGGTGTTGTACACAACCCCCACATCAGCAGCAGCCTCACCCTCCTTGAAACACTGCAGGTCTCCCAACGTCAGCTGAGTGCTGGACTTTGCAGTGAGCGCCGTGGGGTCGACAACGAAGTACACTGCGGTGACGGGCAGCTGCTCCTTGGTCCTGATCAAGCCCGTGTCCCGGCGCCGCAGTCCGTCGTTCAGGTCGCAGTTGCACGCCACGGAGTCACGGACACATTCTTCAGCGGCTGCAATCAATCAATCTTAATAAGAGGACGTTTGTTTAAAGGAGTCAACTGGACAGCACGTCAAATTTAAAGATGTGTAGTGAGGCCATGCATTTTCCTAGTTATTACTTTTAAAGTCAACACATTATTAACTGAAAAAAATTCTTTGGTCAGCTATGCCAATTATTACTTATTAAACTTACTCATGTACGAGAATATGGATGTGATATACTGTCACAAACTTTTTGAAAAAAAAAATCTGGCATCGTACTCGAAACGATTACAAACTCAGTCAACATCATGCAAGTAGTGATTCTTCGATAATTGTTTAGACGTTTTCTCATTTGATTGGAAATAACTTTTTTAAATCCCTAAATACATTCAGTCTCGAGAAACACATTCACCGTTTAACCTTACTCTACCTTTGGTATGAGATAAAGTCGAGGAATTTCTTATGCTTGGGACAAAGATTAAGGAAGGTTTTTGAGTCAGCAGTTTTACCTTTGCAGGGACAGATGCCTCCGGTTTCTGAACCAAATCGGGCGTTCATTTTCATTCTAGGAGACGAGAACCAAGTCTGCGAAGAGAGCTTCAGACGCGACCGCACGCAATCAAATGTGACGTTTTGCTGGCATGCCGTCGAGGATTCGACAATGGCCACCAGATCGGCGTCTGTCAGACCACTGTAGTCTACGGACAGCTTGTAGCTCTTTTTTATGTCCTTGCTCCTCACCCGCTGTAAACAAATGAAGTCGCTGCTAACCAATGGGTTAACTCAAAACAGAATTGCAATTAAACATCGGCTATGATGCACTTCAGTCTGAGAGACATTTCTTTTCTCGCAAGATATTATGACAAAGTGTGAGAAATTTGTAACCGTACTTAAAGACGAGGCAGCTAGTTATTTAAAATGAAAATTAAATGTTAATAAATTTAAGTATATCAAAACTAGTACGGAAACGGTGTATTCTGCTATCGAGTTGCACCAATTATCTGTAAGCGAAGAATGAAAATGTATTTCAAATACCACTTCATTTGAATATCAGCATTTCATTATGCATACGACGGTCTTCATCTTGAAATTATTCAATAACGTGATTTTATTAGAATAAGCGTCATGTACTCATTTAAATAAAAGAAACATGCTAATCGCTTGAGAAGAGGTCCTTTTGATGAATCCCTGGACATTTTACGACATCATTCACACTCATGTATCGTGAAGTGCTGCTCGCTACAACCCACATGTTGTTGGGGTAATGCGTGAGCCACGGTAGTGTGGGCACCCCGCGCCGAGAACGCGCACCGCACGGGCACGGCTTGCTGAGGTCCCGGTCCGTCGACGTCGACGAGGTAATCCCCCGGTCTGCTGAAGCCCTGACGCGCGTAGTCCTCGCACGAACGGGCATAGCGGGCTGCGGATGTTACTTTTGTTACATACTTTTTAGGAAACTTGAGAAGGTCTATGAATTCAATTGAAACTAGAGAAGGTCTATGAATTCAATTGAAACTAGAGAAGGTCTATGAATTCAATTGAAACTACAGAAGGTCTATGAATTCAATTGAAACTACAGAAGGTCTATGAATTCAATTGAAACTTGAGAAGGTCTATGAATTCAATTGAAACTTGAGAAGGTCCATGAATTCAATTGGAACTTGAGAATGTCTATGTAAAGTATCAGTCAACAAACGATTCAATCAATAGTAATCAGAATGGAGATATGAGGAAATTTCCCTGTGTGATCCAAGATTGCAGAAGTACGAATCAAGCGGCGATTGCAATTGGCGCCAATATAATGACACCTTGATACGTAGGCAGTCACTAGGCACTAGGCACGGTCTTTCTTTACGAAATCAAACAAAACGACAGCAACTATCTCGGTCACACAAAAATTACTTCACAATTTATGAGTGTGAAGAAGTCAAAAGCAATATTCACTCACGGAACTGGCATCTGTTTCCATGGTATTGGGTGCTGGAACAGTCGCACTGCACGGCGCTCTCTGCAGACAAGGAACACTCGCCGCCGTTGAGACAAGCATCAGGAGCGTCACATGGTCCTTCCAGCTGCCCAGCACACGTAATGTCTTATGTTAATAGTTTGCTGAAATCACAACTTAAAAAATTATTTAAAAGCAAAGAAAACGCGAAATAAATTTACCATAACTTCATCAAAAACGTTTTGTTGACCAGTTTCATGTTTAATTAAAAACACGTGATTACACTTATTTTAATAACTAATAATCTAAATGTCTCTAACTTGTAATTTATATTTCTATAAATATGGACAAAGTGATTACGTCATTATGTACAGGGTGCACATAGATTTTTTGTGAAATGCATTACATCACGCATCTTCACCAAAAGTTTCGGGAAAAAGTTGCTAGATAGAGACCAATTTTGTAAACAGGAAATCCCACTGAGATACTCGTAAATATAGTGCTTTAAAAAATCACTTCTGGGTGCTGACTATGGAAATAAGCTTTATTTGGTACTTGGTAAAATTTACATATGTACTTGTTAGCATCGTAAGCGGTAAGTTGAAACGCCCTAACAGGAAAAACAACTCAACCTCTTAGTGCTTTGGTTTCACCGTGCAGCGATAAAAGATAACACCACCTGCTTCATGCAAGATGTCCGAAAGATTTGGGATCGCACTGTGATATATTTACCACACTGTTGTATTTTTACCACCCTGTAGTATTCTTACCAAGCTGTTATATTCTTACAGTTGTATTCTAATTGTGCAGTAGTATTATTACAGCGCAGTATCACTCTCACCATGTAATGGTATTCATACCATGCAGTTGTCGAAGACAACGCCGTGTTGTTTGTCCAGCAGGTAGCGCAGGTCGTAGGATGTACCATCGATTTCAAGCGACCTGATGCACGACTTGAGGGCTGGGAAAGAAAACCGATTGGTTCATGTCCAGCGGTTCCTAAATTTGCGCAACTAACATCAAACGCTTAAGATGCGCCCTGCAAGGAGTGCAAATGTATAATTCATGAAAAACTTTAACACAAAAGCTAAAAGTTGGCTTTTAACTTGCGATAGTTGCCATCTGACCTGCGATAGTTGCCATCTAACCTGCGATAGTTGCAATCTAACCTATAATAGTTGCCATCTAACCTGCGATAGTTGCCATCTATCCTGCGATAGTTGCCATCTAACCTGCAATAATTGCCATCTAACCTGCAATAGTAGCCATCTAACCTGCGATAGTTGCCATCTGACTTGCGATAGTTGCCATCTAACCTGCGATAATTGCCATCTAACCTGCGATAGTTGCCATCTAACCTGCGATAGTTGCCATCTAACCTGCAATAGTTGCCTATCTAACCTGCAATAGTCACCGTCTAACCTGCGATAGTCACCATCTAACCTGCGATAGTCACCATCTAACCTGCGATAGTCACCATCTAACCTGCGATAGTCACCATCTAACCTGCGATAGTCACCATCTAACCTGCAATAGTCAGCGTCTAATCTGCAATAGTCGCCATCATACCTGCTCGTTGTCCGCCGAGGATCACTCCTGAGATGAGCGTGAAAGGCACCTCTGAAGTTCCGAGTTTTGTTTCGCCGTTGAGAGAGAGTGTCACGTCGACGTCTTTGATGCGTAGACTCATCTTATTGGCAAAATTTGTGAAGAATTTTAGGTTATTGCGCCACATTTTTTATCAATCAGCGTAGCGAAAAACTCATCATTCCATCAGTTGTTCTGCTGAAAATACCGCCTGTAATTTATTCTGCTACAAACACGGTTTACTGAATTGTCGACTTTTTACTTACTATGTATATATTCTTCTTATACCCAATGTAGTTTACCCACCCTATTTTTTCGTACAAGCGCAAATACTTACTATTAATGTGAAGTTTAGTATTTGCTCAAATATTTTCTGATATTTAAAACGCTTGTAATCGATATCTTGTTGATGGTAAATAAAATTTTGTCAAAAATTCGATTTTTGTCGTGGCCAGTCGACTACTTGCTAGAAAATGATAATTTCTCACACACTAGTTTCGGTAAATAATTTGGTTACGTAATTTGATATGATAATTTTAAACAGAAAGAGTGTGATTAAAGTTATGACTGACGCATAGTTAGCACCTGTGAATAACTTTTTGAATTGTATGCTATTTTGTTAGCCCGCTTCATGCTGAAGGCATGCGAGTGCCGTAAGTATATTATAACGTGCTGAAATTTAGGAACATCAATCATTACAATACAACTAAAAAGGAATATGTACAATTTTTCACGAAAACTAAGATGTTTTGAACGTTGAGTCGAAGATTACTCACCTCATTCCAGTCTTGCGTATTAACAGCAGCAGAGCTGCTCACGCTCAGCAGGTTTTCGCCGAGCAAGAAAGTCAGGTGAGATTTGTTGTTGCTTATGACCTGGCGGGCATATGATGAATTTGAGGTTCGATACACAATACGTAAAGAATGACATGTACAGATTATAAGAAATAGATCACTTTGGAAGGATAGTGAACAAGGCAAAATTGTTCTTGGAAAATGACATGGAACATCGTTCTAATATCGCTATAAATAGTAACATGATTTTAGCTTTGGTGGTTGGTTATTAGTCCCATGGGACGGGTATTATTTTTTACAGTTGTTCACGGGATTGGGGACTGGATGACGCATTGGTAAGGAAAACAAAATTTTATGAAATTTGGCACGCAACATCTAAAAATTTTTTATTTGAATATGTATCTCCGTAGTGTAATTGACATGCTGTTTAACCGTGCTTAATAATTTCATTAATTATACAGCACGATCTCTTGGAATGTCCAGTTTTGTTGGATATGCAGCAACGGGTAATGTTTTATGTCTGATTTACTGAAAAAACGAACAGCACCGATAGAAATCCGTGTAGGTATAGAGTTGGCAAACTAATCTAATTGTTGATTTATTTTAGGCCAGTAAATGAAAAAAAAATCAGGCAGCATCAATAAAGTTTCCCAGATATTTTACACGCGCTCACCATCCAATTGTCGACAGTGTCGGCTATGAGGACGCTACCCTGAGCCAGGACCCCGGTAGTGTGTCCCTCGGGTGGCACGCGGAACTGGAGTTTGATGCTCAAGTTGGTGCGCTGACCAGCGGCGTCGTTCGACGGGATGACGATGTGGGAGCGAGGGGTCGTAAAGCTCAAGGTTCCAGGCTCTTCCTGCAGTTGAATGAGCGTGTTATTATATTGTAATCATCATGTAGCGAATACGCGTGTTTTAATATGGCATTCAACAGCTATAGAGAATGTGTATCTTTTAATATTTAAATCATCAGAAATACCGGATGAGACTCTTCTATAATTGCATTCATCAGCAGCATTGAATGCGCATCTTTACAACACTTCTCTTTAACTTCACTTCTTGTTGTTTGTCTGTCTGTCTGTCTGCTACAAATCTTATAATGGAAATTTAACACACTTCTAGTTATCCTATCGATGTGAAATTTTGCACACTTGCGTAAAGTTGGAGACAATGCATGAATCAACTGACAAAATAAATAATTTCAAAACCAAAAAATATTTTTTTTCAATATTAAAAGTACTGAAAAATAATTTTGTCAGCTACAAATCTTATAATTGAAATTTGACACATTTTTACCTGTCCAATTGATCTGAAATTTTGCACACTTGTGTGAAGTTGGAGGCAATGCATGAATCAATTGACAGAATAAATAATTTAGAAAAAAAGTATATATTAAAAAAATTGAAAAATTAATTTTGTTAATATTCGGAAATAAAATTAGAAATTCATTGTACATCTGTAACATTGGAAACACTGGATGCTTTAGAAGTGTTGTCTTTAAAAAGTAATTTTTAAACGTATATTATGTACTACTGTATTCATCTGCGATGAGCTGCATAATTAGGAGTGGATATATTTTTACCGAATCTTGACTAATTAAATGAAAATGTAAATTTCTACATTAAAACACCAAGCCAACATGTAATTTTTTCCTCTGCAGCACGTTCTCCTGACATTTTAAACTGATTGACGAATAGAAATTTCAGGGAAGATCATTCAAATCATAAAAAAATCCTTTAAACTTGAAATTTAAACACATTGCTTTCGTACAGCTTGTCAAATAAAATAAATCGTTAAAATTAAATTAATAAAATATATCGTTGAAACATAGAAACATTCATTTCGATTTTCGTTAATATTTTTCACAATTTTCAAGATGATTTAAGTCGGTGTCATGAATTTGTTTTTAGGGAGTTTAGGTTTAGGTAGTGTGTTTTAAGTGCATTTTTCTACCTAATATTACTAGAGGCACTCACATGAGATCGGCAATAAAACGTTTAAGGATACGGCACAATTAACGCAATAAATGCATAGCAGAAAATTGTACGAAAAATGCTTTTAGGGATCTGTAAAGAGTTCTCAATTAAGAAAATTAAGAAAACGTCGAAATAAACACTGTTAAAGATCGGGAAACAATCAAATAAAATAATTATTTTCATCCACGACGCTACCTTGGTGCACTTTTTAGTGGACTTTCCCTCCTGTGCGAGGACATTCACACCATCCACGAAGACGCGCTTGAGCACGCCAACGAAGGGGCGGTAGGACGGCATGCCTGCACGTACACGTGACTATACTTTCAAAAAAAGTTAAGAGATCGTAAGTTCATCAGCCGATCATTGACGGCCTTTCAAGCAAAATCCACCAGTCATGGACAAGAAAATAGAGCGTAAGTACTTAGTTCGCTAAGTTCACTTAGCGAATTTTGAAAGTATGGCCCCTGGCAGGTGACTAACGTTAGTGTTAGTAGCATGGATGAGAATTGGGACCTTCAATGCTAATCGAAATAAATGAGCTTTCTTTAAATAAAGTTTGAATCCATATTACAGGAGGGCGTTGAACCGACATTTTATAAAAATAAAAAGCATTCCAGCCACAAACGCGTCGCATAACATAAAAATGTTAGTTTTATATATGGAAGATGAACATAGTTGTCGTAAATTCATCAAATGTCAGAATTAATTCAGCCGAATTCACAATGCTGAAATTTTGTTAATAGAAATAATAAGAAGGAATATCTCCAAAATGTTGTAATTGGATTGTGGACCAACTGCGAAATGAACTGTTGAAAAGAAAATTGTTTAGCGTTTGTAAAATTAAGATTTATAGACGACATAGATGGCTGTTATTCGAAAATATATGTTCTCAAAAAATAAAAATTATTCTATGTGGCTGCTTATCTTCAATGACAAAGAGCTCATGATTTTAAAGAAATCTCATGATTTGGCGTCATGACGAAAGACTCAACAAAGCTAAACAATACAATATGTATTCGACACGAAGGACACTCATGTCTGTCATATCAATCAAATTAATTTTAAGCAGAATATTATGCACAAAAACCTGATCTTTCATAACTGCAACAATTTTAAAAAATATTAATCGAGCCACTCAGACATATTTATCACATTAATAACAGGCGTGTTCTATATTTCTATGTTCTATATCACGTGGATTTTCAATTTATTCGAAATTATGCAGTAAAGTGGTCGCACCTGTTACTGCGCATGATTTTTGGCATTCCTGCAATGAAGAAAATGAATTGGAATTGGCCCCGCAGCCAGAGTAGGAGGCAGAGGTGCACATGTCTGACTGGACGTCGAAGTAGAACACTTCAGACGCCGGCGATTGCTTGGATGACTTGCACTGCACATCACCAGGATAGAACGGCTGCAAGCAAGCTGAACGGAGAGCGAACAAGTTAGAACTTGGGACTTACTATATGTAAGTAATGTTAGAACTTGGGACTTACATCAAGACGAAAAATCTTTACAGCTTGAAAAAACGAGATAAAATGAATTAAAATTCCAGTGTGGAATAGTTTTTGTCATTAGTTGATCGATCAAAATATTGCGTTATAAATAAATTTCAATAATAAATCTACGACAAAAAATTTCAGCTTTAATTATAATATATAATTATATATATCCAATTATATAATATATATAATTGGAATTTGCCGATTGGTAATTGGCTGCGTTTCTTGTCAACTAATAATTCGGATGGTATGTCCGAAATATTTGTTAACAAAAATGTTAAAGCCAGGTTGAAAATGGATTCAGTTTTAAATAGAAAGCTGTTCGGTGATGATGTGATCAGTTGATATGGGATGGCCGAGCTTCGAAACGGGGCTTAAATTCATTGTGAATATCTATCTCTATATCAGCACAAATAATTTTGATAGATTGCTTTGTTCCTCAATGTATTTTGAAAGTGGTTCGTTGAGCAGACGCTTAATTTTTTAAAATGTCCATAAAAAATAAATTTGTCATGCAAAATTTTTGCAAGTGGAATTAGAAGTGAAAAATTCGTCACAATATGTTCAAAGCCTCTCGAATTGAGAATACAGTAACAATAAGAAATATTTTCCTGTGAAAAGGTCACCATGATTAAAGCGATATTAGAATCTCGTCTATCCGTGCTTATGTAAACGAAATAAATAAATAAAACGAAACACAATAATTTGGCTCACATTGATTGAAATCAGGCGCATATCCGAAGAAAACTACAGGGTCAATATTAATTTTGTTATCGGCATTGAACATCTTGACGTTGATATGATGCCACGCATCGTCGGTGAGAACCCTGTCCGAGAGCCGACCATCAACAGCGTCCAGAGTTTCGTTGTCCAGGGTAATTCGTACGGTTGCATTTGACGGAGCGCCACCAGACCTCAGCTTGCCGTCGGTGTCCAGACCGAGCGAGTAGTACGACTCTTTCGGGTACAGGGACCTCACGAACACCAGTACCGAGTCCGGCACGCTCGTCTGCCGGTAAAGATTGGGCCCAAAATAAATAGAAGTTGCATTTAAAATAATGAAAAAATTACGCCATTTAAATTTTTTTTCTCATACAATTCCGATTCAATGTGGATTTCTGGACGAAGGCTGCGAAAACAATTCTCAGCAAAGTAGATTTTATATAATCTTAGGATTCTTCAACAGGTGTTAGACACTAACATCAGTAAAATTGAAACATGGTATATGAGATTATCCATTAGCATCTTTGCGTGTTAAGCTTAATGAATTAATTCCATTACAAAATAATTTTTAATAATGATCTCATAACATTGGCTATTAGGTGCAGTGAAACAGAATTTTTCACTTGAAGGGAGTGAGAGACGTAAAATGATACATGGGTGATACGGAAGGAAAAAATATCAATGCTGTGCTTTCTTTGCCAGAAAAGTTGGGAATATGAGTAGAATTTTTCTTGTACTCCTCATATGCAAATATTAAACAAAATAGTTTCTCTTTGAAATGACTCCTTATATCTAATATACGTATAGTGTCTTCAAGGTGCTAGCTTCCACTTCTGGTACTTCAGATCTGCGTATTTTAGAATCCTTTTACATTTTTAAACAGAGGCCACTCCACTTGTGATAGTGAATAGATATGTTTTGCTGTTTTTTTCTTCTGTTTTGTCTTTTATTTATAAATATAGGTTTTAATTTCGGTTCTTTGATTTTCAATTTTAATAACTGGTGATTTTATTTGCATTTTAGAATCTTCGAACAGACGACGGAGCTGGACTCCGAAACGTTTCTATAAAGATATAATGAACTTATGTGGAATTCCTTTTTTTAAATTTCTTTTTAATTTGGGATTCGAGCAAACGAGTGAATGATACTAAAAGAAACTTAAATTTTAAATTTTTAAACTTGGTTCTGTAACAAAATCACTGTACGTAATTATTTTTATCAAAAGTCAAATAACGAATATCGATGTTATATCCCGATCGTCATGTTGATATTTGTATTTGAAAAGAATATGTTAGACACGCGCCCAAATAACCCTTATATCTTCCTAGACGGCACTGCCGGCAACTTGAAAGTCGATTTTTTCGTCACCGGTAGAGGTACAATCTCTCATTAGTCCAATGTCGTGGGAATTGAAAGTAACCTCTTCAAATTCCTCATTTTGTGATCTATTTGATAAAAATTTTTCGTTTCCGAATAAAATTTACAATTTTCTACGAGAAGAGCTTAGTACATTAGTAAAAATAATGAATATACCTTGAAAAAGAAGGAAATTTTGTGAGCTTTCTTGTGACCGAATGTGTCCCAGGACTGCGTGACATGAGACAAAAATTTGCCTCCTTCGATCCGGTGCTCACGGAAGTCTGTGAATAGGAAATTTAGTAACACAATTTCTCTATATTGTCAAAATATTTTAAATTAGTAGTGAACGGTTATTTCAGCACCATAATTCGAAAACAATCCAAGCTATTCAATCAAAATTGACCATACGAAAAATCGGAATTTCAATACAACCTTTAATACAACCTTTAAAATGTCTGTTTTAACATTACAGATTGCATTGATAGATTATTGAATAAAACCAACTTTATAATTTATTTCGCTGTTTGTTCACCTTGTTTGCTGCAACTCGGATGAGTTACGTCGATGTCTGTACAGTCGCACTGAACGTGACTGAAGTGGTTGATGCAGCGCGAGCCCGTGGGGCATGGATCCTCCGCACACCTGCAGTGGCAGGTGTTTTTGGTGACGAGTGTATTACAGTCTGACAAAATCTTAAAGATATCTCGATAAATTCTTTAAGCAGCATAATTTTTATGATTTGTCAAACTTTCAAACATGTTTGGTTTTAAATAATATTGAATAATTAGGCAACCCATTTATGACTTTTCGAGCCTCTTATCCAGACCGAAAACACGTCTCGGTTAGATTGTTTGACCGACTCCATAGGGAAACAACAAGATTCAAAGCTCATTGACGATCAGTCGGAAACTTTTTCTCAGAAAATGTTGAAAAGTGACTTGAACCGGGAATAATATCGTCGTATATTTCGTATGAGTAATGATGATTTTAAACAATTTTATTGAAAGTGTCAAAATATTAGTAACATGAAACCTTCATGTATATGTGTATATATGGAGATCAAGACGAAATTAATGAAGCGATGTGCCATTCATGAAAATATCTCCTATCTGCCTGACCGAACTAACGTCGGTGTAAGATGAGTCCGCACGCTGAACCGTAGATGGTTTGGCCTGATGAGTAAATCAACTGCAAGATAACTAAAAATTAATTCTAATCGGCAACCACTATATTCAACCATAAACGTCACCCTGAGGAAACATTTTTCCAGACGTCACCCTAAAGACAAGCAAAAAACATCACAACTATCATTATTTCTACGACTACTACTATGTCACTACTGCTACTACTATATTACTATTGCTGCTGCTACTACTACTCCTCTAACTCTACTACTAACTTATCCTTGCACAGCAGTCCCGACTGTACGCCGCGATGTACAGTCGGCAGCAGCAGGTCGCTCTCACTGCCCTCGACCATCGTTGCCTCGTCATGCGCAGCAGAGTCAGCAGCCTGCAGCAGCTGCACGTGCCGAACACAACCTCGCAGGTTTCGAACCCGCACCTTGGGCTCTTCTTCTGCCAGTGAAGACTCGCTAACGCCTGCAGGTATTTGGGTAGTTATACATAAGGCCACCGACCATCTCTGTGTATTATTCGAGGTTACGAAATATAAGAACACGAGGCCCGAGCAAACAATTTGCAATTAACGAATATTGGATGTTGATGATAAATTAATTGTAATGGTAAACTGATTTTATTGGAACATTTTGGATGCGGACACTTTTCGTCATTTGCCATTCGGTATGTCGGAAGTGCTCTTTTGAAGTTGTCACCAATGTCTCCGGCTAATTTCGATAATTTTTGAGAACGGTTAACAGTCTAATAGATGACTATCAAAAATCTATTCTCATTAAAATTTGAGATCAAATTCAAGTGGATTCAAATTTACTTCTCCTTTTATTTTTTCATAGTTATTTAAATCAAGAGTATTTCCCAGCAAAAGCGTTAGCGAATGAGGGCTCAGAGTAATATATATAATTTTATCACTACCATTTATTATTTAGCTTTGACTTGTATTGTGTGTATTAAGTTAATGTCTCCAGATTAATTCACCTTAGGTAGAAAGGCTAATTATTAAAAAAACTAACTTAAGCTCCCTGAAAAACTTCAGTGCCAATTAGAAACGTAAGCTTGTCGCAACCTAACAGCCTGCCGCACTCAATACTCTACCTCCGACCCAGAGCCGTGCAGGTAAATGCAGTTCCGTATTTTCAGCAGCACCAGATAAAGTGGCGCCCAACCCTTCGACGTGGAGCGTAAGCTCTTCGTCATCCACGGTCAGCTTCACAGTATCCGTCGTGCAGAAGGTTGACAGCTTCACTGAGTGATACTTGCCATCATGCAGCCCACCTTAGAGGAACAAAAGCAAGTGTGCTAAAACAAAGGAAAGGAGAACAAAAGCAACTTGCTCTAGTATCGCTTATACGCAGTCAATTCCTGATACAGTTGACCGAACAGTTCCAACGAATATGTCAATGAGAACGAACATTGTTTCTGGTAGGTTGTCGTTTCCTCAGAAGAACGTATGAGATCTTCAATTCAATGAAGCGCCATTTAAGGAATATATCGTCACAAAAACGAGCGGAAGTAGTCTTTGGAAATTTGTTAGGTGATCAGAGAGTCGAAAGACTTTGTGTTTCTGAAATTTGCATACATTTGCCTAGTTGAACTACTTTTATCGGAATAATGCTCACCATAAATTAATTATTAATTGCAATTACTAACACAAAATCAGTTGAATGCAAGAGAGTACAAGGGAACAATATTTACATCTACCAAGATTGAAAATACGTTCGGAATGAGGATTTGTTGTGGGGTCGATCACTTTTGAATCTTTAGACAAGTTTCAATTTGATTTTAGTTGAAACTGAAATAAGTTAGACTGGATTAATCAGTTGACACATTATATTCTTATGCCCAATACAGATTCTAATTAACCAATAATTAATTGCTGGTTGGATCGACTTACCTGCTGTGGACACGACATTGTACCGTTTGCCGGCGACGAAAACTCGAGCGGAGAGATGGCCGCCGTGGAGGAAGAGGTAGTAGTGAATACGCTGGGCTACAAGGTCCGATTCCTGTAGAAATTATATTATTTGTCATAATTGATGCGCCAAAATGAAAACTGATTTCAAGGATTTCAGGAATTTCGAATATTTTATAGCAGTCTTGAAGGTGTCAATGATTGATTTTCCTCAGGCAGTGAATGCTATACAGATTGCATTGACACTGATCTATGTAAATGATTTATTTAGACAATTCACTCATATTAATGGTTTACGCAAAATTTCGGTAAATTTTTACCTTCCGTCATTTGTAGATTGGTCAGGCCAAACTTCAAAGCATTTCGTGTGCGACTAAAATCACGTTTTTGTTATTTGTTTAATATCCCAAATTCATTTCCTGTCTGTTACTGGAATTGTATTACCTAAAAAAACAATTCGTTCATTGCCCTTTGAGTAATAAAATGATAAATTTCATAGCTGCTTCCATAGTATAATTAATTTTTAAAAGTTTGTGTGTTTGAAACGCAGCAAATATATATAGGGATTGGAGGGACGCTTATCCACTATGGGAATAGTAACCAAATAAAAAATTAAAAAGTCTAAATTTGATTGAAATAACATAGTTATTTTCATATTTTTCAATTGAGAGTCAAATGAAAGTTTAATCTGAAATGTAGTTTTGTACTCGTACATCATCAATTAATTTACATAAATCTTATTTTAATTAACGGGATTTGGGATAATGATAATCAAACATTGCGGGGATTTTTGATGCCGGGCAATGCCGGACTAACCAAGAAGTTCTTCATTTTATGCGCTCGATCTACTTCATGCGGGATATGCTGAGTACAGCCCGACGCAAAAGGTTAGCCCCACCCCTTTAAAACATCATAACATATCGAGTTTTGCCAGTTTTAACGTGCAAATGGTGGCAAACGAATCGTCTTGGTCTCAGTAATCTATAGCAGGTGAAATTTGGTGAAAAAGTTAATTACTGGCGGAAAAATCAAGCGGTCCGTGTTTTTGCACCGACGCAAAAGGTTAGCCCCACTTTGCAAGTTTGGTGCTCTTGCGGACAGGACACAGCGTAGACTCGCTGCAAAGGGTGCGTTCATAGCGTAGTAGTTGTGCACGGATCTTATGCTCACCTAGGCAAGAAATACGCGCGGGAAAGCCTCTAACTGAGTTTCAGAAAGGTGCCATTCAAGCCCTGATGGCGCTGCCTGAGGGCGAGCGTCCTAGCCTGCGTCAAATGGAGGCACAAGTGGGGTGTAGCCGCAAAGCCATCTCCAACTATCTCAAGGACCCCGTGAACTACGGAAAGCGGCACACCAAAGGCCGCCCCAAGAAGATGTCGGCCCGTGACACGCGTCGCCTCTTCCGAGTTGCGGCGCCCGGCGACTTGAGCGCGCCCAAACTAGTCCAAAAGTTGGAGCTCAATGTCTCCAAGTCTACCGTCTCTCGCACCCTCGCGTCCTCCGGCATCTTCCAATACGTGAAGATGAACAAGGCCCCCCAATTGACCGAGGCTCACAAGCATGCCAGGGTCGCCTGGGGCACAAAGTATGCAAGTACTAGTGATGACACCTGGGCCACAACCATCTTCTCTGATGAGAAGAAATGGAATTTTGATGGCCCAGATGGTCTGAAGTACTACTGGCATTGCCGCAGGGATGATCCAAAGGCAGCTTTTAGCCGCCCAAATGTCGGGGGCAGTGTAATGGTGTGGGGGACCTTTCATGCAAACGGGACGAGCGAGCTCGTCTTCCTCGAAGGCAACCAGTGCGCAGACGCCTATGTCCAAACGCTCGAGGACCATCTACTTTCCCGTCATCCGCCACCAAATTCGCCGCGGCGCCATCTTCCAACAAGATAATGCCTCAATCTATACGGCGCGCACGACCAAGGCCTTCTTCAAGCGTGCCAAAATCCGGGTTATGGACTGGCCAGCCAAGTCCCCCGATCTGAATCCCATTGAGAACGTCTGGGGGTACATGGCTGGGATCGTCTATGCCTGCGGGAAGCAGTATGGCACGAAGGAAGAACTCAAGTTGGCCATCCAAGCCGCCTGGTCCAATCTGGACCCCAACTACCTCCGTAGATTGTCTCAGGGCATGAAAAAGCGGTGCTTGGAAGTCTGCAAAGCCAACGGGGAGCATATCTGTGCATAATTTTTAGTTTTGCAGCTGACGTTTGTTTTGTTTTGCCTAAAATGTCAAAGTGTACAAAGTGGGGCTAACCTTTTGCGTCGGTGCAAAAACATGTGTTTTTCATTTTCTCCATCACTAATTACATTTTCAAAAGAGTCTATTGTATTTTGATTACTGAGACCAAGACGATTCGTTTGCCACCATTTGCACAATAAAACTCACAAAATTCGATGTGTTATGATGTTTTAAAGGGGTGGGGCTAACCTTTTGCGTCGGGCTGTTACTTATAGCGTTAGTACTGTACGTTTGAATCCATTACATATTTTCCGTACTATTCTCACCAGTCGCAAGAAAGTGAGAAGTCCTCTTGGCAAGTCCGTACGAAATTCGAGCCTCAGTTCAAATTGGGGTCTGAAAATAAATATGTCATCAACATTAGTAAATAATATAAACAAAAGGAGTAAATAATGTCATCAACATTAGTAAGTAATAAATAACCTTAGTAGATAATATAAAGTAGGAGGCGACAATCGGAATACGCACTTCACTGTAATACATTCAATGCAATTATTATATGATTTTGCTGAAAATTAAATTTCCGATAAAGAAGATTAAAATTTACCTCAATGAAGAATTATTTCCTTCCTAATACGGATATTTCATTATTATTATTTCGTGCCCATGTAAAATAAATTTTAGTTTCAGCAGGAAGTTCAAAGTAGAATTGTAAAGATCAATGAAATGAAAACTGATTTGGTTAATAGATCATACTAAATGTGATTTAAAATACAAAAGTACTAGAACAAGGTTAAATTACTTGTACTTTGTAAAAGGATTACTAATCTAATGGATAGAAATTCCGGGTACCACACTGCTTGAATGAACTCTGCCTTTGCCTAGTTTTTAGTATAGTTTAACATCAGCTTTCATTAGCACTTCGTTCACAGTTTTAATGCCAGTGAAAACTATTCACTAGTTGCTGATGATAGTACAGTTCGGTTATGTGATTTGTGGCACAAAAGATCTCACGATTCAGGACCGACAATGCTCATAATTTTATAGTGAGGAGGTGTGCAAAAAAACAGTGGCGAGGCAGCAGTAGAACAATACGCTCAGAGAAACTAGTGAGACTTTGTCTAAATAGTGATGCATTTTTCCTCCTTGTGTGGGTCATCTTGACCCAGTTTAGCCTGGCAAAAGGGGTATCAGTGCTACGTCCTCTCCCTGATCGTGCTGGGGACAAGAAAATGTATCAATAGTTTGAGCAATACATCCATTCGATTTTTATGAGTGATTGAGTTTGGACTACATGAACCATTCGATAATTGGACAACATGACACATTCTAATTTTATTAGCGATACGCACGTAGGTAATGTGGGGTCTGAAGATAAATGAAAGTGTGATACTTTCGCCATGACGAAGGAATCTTCCTCGTTGAACGTTAGGACGTAATCCTTGGCGTCGTTGGAACCGAGTACCAACGTTCGTCTCGTCAGACCTGGAGGAGAAAGGTCCATTTATTAACATAGAGTGCACAAGAAAATATTTCACCAAAGTTGGATAGACTGTACTTATAATGACATGGTGACATATTTAATTCCAATCGCGTAATGAGGTACACGACTGTGGTAATAACAGTTTCCATGCTGCTCTTGCCAAAACCTCCGGTTAGTGTATGCTGTATGAGAGCACATGCATGACGATGGATATTATATTACTGATTGTGAATCATAACTCATGTTTTATGTGAAAAATAAGTGCATTTTAGAAATTATATATACATATATTTGCACTCAAATATACTGATTGATAAAATTTAGTCTTCAATGCATTAAGAATTTACGAGGAAAATTTATTTCCATATGTTGAGAACTATTGGCTTTAAAGTAGAAATTCTTTAAACGGAAGTCAACAGACCAGTGAATTTTGAGTATATCGTAAATTAAAAATTCTTACCATGAACATTGATACAAATAAAAATTCAACCTTATCACACTTGAGCATTTCATTATCACCCGAAGGTAACCAAAGTTTAACGAAGTATCTCTTTTAAAATTCAGTAAATAAACAATACTTCATCTCACCATTTGTGAGACATGCAGGGATTTCTTCGGTTCGGTTGACTCTCTCATGCAGGACGCTGAAGACGGGCTGGGGCTCCTCTATGGTGATGGAGTCCTCCTCCTCCTCCTCCACACTGGTCACCTCGTCGCTGAAGAGCTTGATGGGCTGAAGGACCTCCTCCTGCAGGAGCGTGGTTGGAGCGTCACCAGATCCCTCACTGAGGCTCTCATCGTTGCTCGGGAAATGTACGTGCGGCAGAGCAGAGGTGGTCGGCGCAGCGGCTGCCCACAGCAGCAGCGCCGCCAGGGGCAGCAGCTTCCAAGCTAAATCCTGTTCAACAATTTAGAATGAATGTTTGAATGTCAGCACCTATACTCTATTGCGGATTCTTAGCTGAATATTTGAGGAAATACATACTGATACAGTCGGGAAACGGAGCATGCAACATGATATGTTAGAAGAGAAACTTATAAAAATAACCGCATTTATATATAGGGCAACGTGGGGCAGCGCGCCCCCCACTTTTTTTAAACTAAATTTTTGATGAAATTTTAATTGATACGAGGTGGTTCTTTGTTTTCGCAAAGAACTTAATAACGCAAACACTTAGCAAAACGTAAATCCGTACACTTCATCCCAGTGAAACTGTCGACCGGCGGTAGAGAACACGGACCAATATCTGCCATACTTAGCGAGAAACCCGCTATGGGCCCGTGACCCGCAGTGGGCTCGCTGCCCCATGTTACCCTAAGTAATTTTTGATTACTGAAGCAGTGTTCTGATAACTAAAGTTTATATAGTACGTTTCTGCTGCGGACGTATCCTGCCGTGCCATCACACTGTAAAACGTAGCGAGGAATTATTGATAATTTGACGGTATGGAACAATTAATATAATATAATGTGAAAATATTCGTATTTTCTACACTTCCACTGCCCTGTGAGAGCAAAACTTTACGACAATCCTTCCTTGGGTCCACAATGCTTAAAATATTTGGTAAAACGAGATAATCTTAATTAAATTGCATTAAAATTTTCGGTGCATCTTACAAAATTTAGTGTTTATTTTCACGAATCAAATAAATTGAGATTTACTTCCTAGATTTGAAATATAATTACATTTTAACTGACATTGGCGTCATGCCGTTGGTGGGGACCTCGACTATATAGCAGCTGTTATGTCGTCCCGAAATTGTGGAATAGCCGATTCTATGGAATCGGTAGCCAGTTTGCTGAATTTGTATGTAGCGTCAGCATTTCGTTGCTGATTCAGAAAATCGGACGTTATAGTCCATAGATTCGGCAATTCCGCGATTTCGGCACGACATTTATATGAAGTCCCTTCTCTCACTTATTCACATGAAAATTTTCAGTATGTGTCATGAGTTTTGATGAACGGATGTTTTCTTTTTTCATGCGCCACTCAAACTCTCTTGAAGATTATTTAAACTCCCAGTAATGTAAATGAATCAGGAAATAGACATTCGCATTTAAATTTTATTTTCGCGACTCAGGTAGCTGTTTTTTTATCGACGTGGACGTCAATAGAGTAAACGAAATCATATTATTGGAAAATCTAACAACAAGTATTATCGTTATAAAATACGAAGACAAAATTACTATAAATTGATTCGATAGTTTATTATGAAATTCTACTTTTCATTTTTATACAGAAATGAAATAAATAATATACGTTTAAAAATTACTTTTTAGAGACAACACTTCCAAAGAATCCAGTATCTCCAATCTTACAGATGTACAATGAACTTCTAATATAATTTTCGAAAATTAAAAAAATTTACTTTTCAATTTTTTCAATATATATAATTTTTTTAATATATAATTTTTTTTCAAAATTATCTATTCTGTTAATTGATCCATGCATTGCCTCTGATTTCACACAAGTGTGCAAAATTTCAGATCAATTAGACAGGTAATATAGTGTGTCAAATATCAGTTATAAGATTTGTAGCTGGCAAAATTATTTTTTCAATTTTTTTTAATATTGAAAAAATTTTTTTTAAATCATTTATTTTGACATTTGATTCATGCATTGTCTCCAACTTTACACATGTGTGCAAAATTTCAGATCGATAGGATAAGTAGAAGCGTATTAAATTTTGATTACAAGATTTGTAGCAGACAGACAGACAAACAGACAAGAAGTGAAGTTAAAGAGAAGTGTTGTAAAAATGATTAAAATGAATAAGGTCCGCTAATTACTATTTTCTATTAATCAATAAAATAGCGTACGTGACATTGTGAAACTATAATTAATCGTGTGATACTATTCTATAATAGGATTACCGATCATATGTCAGATGTAAAAAATTGATACCATTAATTATACGAGTACAAATATAAGTAAAAATAGATCACTGAAACGAGTGATGTTTCCAAGTGATCGGATGCACTGCATTAATTGTTTTCTAATATTTAATTAATAAGCATAAGGTTTCTGAAAAATGCATGCATCTTTAAATATCAGAGGTCATTCATCCCAGAGACTTGATATAGTTAGCATTTTTCAGCATGCGTTGAAAGCGTGCACCCGCATGAACGCATACCGAGACAAAGCCCAGCTGCAGCGAACATCGCACCCGACGAAAAATACGTTCATGTTACGAACAATTAATGAATTTTTATTTCAGTGATTATCAAGATTAGCATGCATTGGAATAAAATTTTAAATATTGCTGCATTAATCTGCAATAACGACGTTGAATATATTCGTATATAACAAACAGCCATTTCAGCGCAATTTAAATAAAATTTCACTCTTTGTGCTTTTATTATGTATTTAACTACTCGATTAATGAGCAACTATAAATTGTTTTCAAGAAAAAAAATCTGAATTTCAAATGTTAACTGTTTGATACTCACCATTTGATCGTCGAGATCCTCCTATTAGAACTTCATCTGTCTTTTGATTACTCTGAACTGTGAAAGCTTCTGCAAGTGACAGGTTAGTGAATGTAAGATGACAGTAAATCTGAAATGTAATGCACAGGTAGCGGCATACAATTTTCCAGAGCGCGATTTCTTAGTAGATATTTTGCATTTGCATTGTTTCTTTCGCATAAATAGCGCTCTTTCTTGTACGGGAAACGCTTAATCGATAATTTCAATGTGTGATGTCGTCGAAAAAATTTTCCTTTTTCGCTTTCATCTCAATTTTGTTTCGTATTCGAGGACTGCCTTGATGAGATCGAATATTTGCAAATAAAATCACATTGAATTCAATAGAAATTGAAAAAAATATTTCATTACATAATGACTCGACTTATAACAGATCAGGATAACCTAGAGTTTAAGGGCAAACATTTTGTTGCAAAGTTTAATGTGAATATGTCTACTCTAGATCTACTATATATCTACTAATACATATCTGCATATACTAGTGAACTACATATCTTTTAAGCGCCAGAGAAAATTGCAAGATAAATGTACGAGTCAGATTAATGACAGGTCTCACCAGTCATGAGACCCGTCTAGTCTCATTGTACGTTTTTTACATCAATATCTCAAACTCTAGAAATTCTAGAAAATATGTTTCTTTATCAATGAATAATTCTTGATCGAAAAATTGTTTCATAAGTTATGCTTTACAAAAATCATAGATCAGTCTGTTTTAAACTGAATCATGCCAAAAGGCATGTAATCTTAACAGGATCATAAACTAAGAAGTTTGGTCGGACATTTCTCCTGTAGTGCTCGGTCACTCAATACACAGTCTTTCATTTGTTGATATAATTGTTGCAAAATATATATATATTAAATGCACTAAACTCATAAAAATGAAAACGGTGTATTTTCGTAATACATTTGCATTCGGATGTCGTATAAATCCTAGTTGGGCAATGATCAAAATTATTAGAAAAGTTTAATCATATTGACAAAATGATAGAGGCACAAATAAAAATTACAGTCGAAATAAAGAATTCGTGCGCGTTTTGATCAAGTATATCATCCCTATAACTCTTTAACTAATAGTAAAATTGGTTGCTGCCAAACAGACAATTTAATACAGAGTCAGCTAGAGTTCATGTGTTTTTGGTAAGAAAATAATCAGCGTTGGCAAATTTTCTAAATTCTCATCGTTGATCACACATTCTGAAGAGATAAATCACTGATGCAGTTCAAACAGTGCCATACAGAGGAATAACTAAGCTAATAGATTATGTCCGACATGAGTATTATGGTCGGATTGATATAAAATGACAATCAATCAAATTTCAAGTTCACTAGTAGGTTTAATTATCGTTCCTATAGGTTTTTATTTCGTTTATTGTGACGCTTTAGTCCAGACAAGGTAACATGGAGGTTTTTGGGGAAGTTGAAAAAATTAATTTTTAGGAATCCACATGTCAGTAACAAATACCGTTTAATTTATAGGATAAGGTTCTAGCCCTAACAAAAAATAAGTCATCGTACATCGGTAAGAGAAGAATGAAAAATGTATGTCAATTTGAACCCATTTTCGTTTGGTTCCTGTGACCAGCAGGGAAGAAGCGAAACTTTTCTTTGTTGTACTCGGCATATGACAATTTTGGTCACACTCCAGAAAATCGCAGCCCATTCACTTTAGTTCCTATTCTCGGGGTAGAGCAAAATTCTACAATTGTAATAACCAAATTTCTAAGATATGATTATATGGTGAATCTAATCACTAATGCAAGCACACTGTTTTAGAGTCAGCCTCACAGATGCGACACCGCAGCACTCAGTGCACCTACGACGGGTGTGGGTCTCGGCTCGCCTAGCCTATCTTGGAGTCATATCTCTGTATCTCACCGGCCTGAATATTATATTATCACTCAGTCTCCTGTACTCTATCAAATGTTTATCAGCAGATAGATACAGTGAGATAAGAACGGTTGGAGGTGTCTTGCATGGATCGTATTGCAATTACACAGGCTTTTCGATCCAACTAGAAAATATATTGTTGTCAAAATTGCTGCTTCATTGTAAATTACCAACAAAGTACTTGTAATTCAACTTGAATTAAGTGAATTAATCAACGTCTATTTGTTGAGTAAAAAAATTACATCATATGAAGTCATGAGCTGCATCACTGTTGAAATTGGAATTCGTATCAGAGAAACAATTCATAATACGTATTTTAACTAACTTTAACGTCATTATATATCGAGAATATAATGCGTTATAAGACTTAATGAGTGACTGTTACTCAGGCTAACTAGAATTTTTTTATCTAACTTTAGCAAATTGAAAACATTTTATTTTAGAAGAATTTAATGTAATGATGGTCAGAATAAATTTCATTTTTAGAATAACTCAAAAGAATGGTAGTTACTATAATAAAACTTTTGAATAATATAAATGTTACCGATTTGATTGTGTCGCGTGGAACCGACTTGACAAAGGAAAGTTGATGCTTCAATATTTCTTTATTCTCCAAGTTTTATTTATTCTCTGTAGCTCAGTATGCGTCTCGTTGGTAGGAGAAATTCAAGTTTTTATCGCGTTGACGTTTGCTTGTAGAACAGAAAGTATTTCTCATTAACCAATTCATTACTGTTTTGGGTTAGAAGGATTGCAAGGCATATATTAAAGCGACGTTTCGCCTCAATATATTGCGTATAATTTTAGAACAAACGGCTAGTTTCGTGGGCTATAATGGAAAGGCGAAATTTCGGAGTACAACATTTGACCAAGGAATTGTTGTCACACAAAAATAACATAGCAATAATAACAAGAATTGTTGTCCACGCTGACAACAAACATAAGCGTCTTATAAAAACGCCACGGCAATCGACTGCTAAAATCCAATTAATAGCTGTTACATGGCTGATGAATAGTGGCTACATGACAGATGAATGAGTCCTGAACATAACCGTGAACAATAGCACCATAAGCAACATTGTAATGAATTTTAGTTTTAGAAATTTTGTGTAGCAGATGTTCTGGCAACATCAACCTAAGTATTGGAAGGACCTGTCTTACGGTTTGTTCATTCGTTGATCCTTGCTAAAGCCAGCCGCTTGCCTTCTTGCTCATGGAGAACTTCCTCTGTCTGCTGTTCTACTTAGTAAACTTGGAACCTGGAAAAATCCTAAACACCCAAACTCTCATTGGAAGTTACCGACAATGAATCAATAAACCCATCCGTTTGAACTTCAACCAATAGAAACATTACAAACATATAGGAAAAAAATCAATTATAAATTGATCCTATTCGAAACCAGGTTATCAAACTTCTTTTCACAAATGGCAAAGACTCCTGCTTATCGTTCAAACAATGACGTTCATTAATTCTTCTGTTATGCAGGAAGTTGCAGATTTATTTAAGTATAAGTTACACTAAATTGACAACAAATACCTTGAGCCGGCGTCTCTTTTGTCACCTTCAGTCCGGAGGATCAAAGAACCAGATGATTGGAGCGCTCACAGTCTCACAGAGATCATCACACGCGCTGTCCTAGAAGCTTGCACCAGCATCGTCATGTGATGCCCCAAGCTTGCAATAGAAGGACTTTTTGATCGCCCTTTGCAAAAACTCATCCGTAATATGTAACATTACGCTACTATGGAAGTACGTAACACACGAATCAAGATGACTCATAATGAAATTACGAACGAAAACCTTTAAGTTTCGTAAGACAATTTGAATAAAAAATCAAGGAAGTTTAAAGGCCTTTGGTGGGCTTAGCGTCAATTTTGGCGCAAGACGAAGGCGTTTACAAATCATAGTTTTAAGCAAGCCTCTCTATAGTATCGCATAATAAAATAAAAAGTTAGTATCGAGAAATAACAAATTTGAAAGTTGATATTTTTCGGGGCAAGATTATTGATTAATTTAGAGGGGCTTCTTGCTTATTGTATTTGGGAATTTTTATTTCAAACCTTTAGCTTATTGTTTTTCTCGGTTTGTATTTCATGTAATGCCAATGCGAATGAAATGCTGTGAATCTAAGATATAAAAAAATAATTTTCAGATTCATTGAGTGCGCATCATTGACGAAATAAATTTCTTGCAAGTCTCCTAGACTGTCTCTGCGGCACCACATTGTCGCACCTATTTTATATCTATTTATACTGTACTATGTATATAACGCGTAATCTATACATAGTATAAACGCGTAATCACGAGCAACGGGCAAATGCCGGGTAGTAATACGAAGGGAAAAAATATTTTCGTTTTCGTAGCGTCGTTTATTTAAAACTATTCATAAAAACAATAGGTCATAGCAATAAATTCATTACTAAATCTATTAAGGAAATTTAGGACGAATTAGGCGATGATAAAATAGTTAACTTTTAGGCAAAATACTACCAAAGACATTTCACAGCTTAATATTATTCATACATATAGACGCGTAAATGACCCAATAAAACAATGACATTCATCAACAATTAAACGAAAAAATCCGCAGATCTAAATCCAATACTTGCATTAGAATAATATCACATCACCAACTGAATTCTGCTGACATGCTTAATTATTTATTCACAACGACAATATTTATTGTAAATGCTCAATTGAACTATTAGAGAAATTTATATAAAAATATTTAGGACAGAAGAAGTTATTTTGACATAAATCAAATCAGAAAACTATACAAAAATGATATTCTACATGAAACACAAATACGTGTATGACATTGGACAACAAGCAACCACCGTGAGGAAAAAATGGACGTAATATACAAACTAAAACAACATTAATAATCTCAACGAGTAATGCTGCCCGAGATTCTGCAGATGCATCTATATTCTATATTGACGACTTAAAACCTCAAATCTTATGAAATCTAAATTCTTAAAAAGTATATGTGTCGTGCTGAAATCGCGGACAGAAAGTTTGCCGAATCTGTAGAATCAGCATTTCGTTGCTGGTTCAGATAATCGGACGTTAGAGTTAGAACATAAATTGACAGTTATGAGTTAGAAAAGGTTATGTTAAGTTCGGTCAAGTTCCTCTATATTAAAATATAAAAAAGAACTTGGCTGGCCAACCTAACCCCGTATTCCTATAGTATAGAACTGCTGATCGTAGAATCGGCAATTCCGCGATTTCGGCACGACAAAGGCAATGTACACAGCAGCCTTTAAAATTACTGGACGGAATGTTCACGATAAGGCAGAGGCTGACGATTTCTGAAGAGCCTCCGTGACTCTCCCTGGCGCAGTGCCCTTTACGCTCGTGCCGTTTGGTGGCGTAAAAACAAGAGTTAAGAATTTTACAAATTCGGATGAGTAAGATCGCGAGTTCAAAGATTCATTGGGAAAACAATGAATTTGTCAAGTGGTTTAACGGAGCATATAGTTTCACGTAAGAAGAAATGAAATAAATTAAACTGAACAATTGCGAGATTGAATAGCAATAAAAATGGACATTTCGGCAGACAATATCACAATAAAGATGCAAAGTACAAGAGGGAGTTAAGTACGTAAGGATGACCTCCACAGAACGTCCCAAAAACAATGGGACATCGTAACTTTATGTAGCGACCTGAATCCCCTAAGCTCCTCGATTGATTATACAACACCAAGCCCAATAAATCCAGTCTACATATCTAAAGAAAGGGATTCAGCAAGCGGTCACTCGGTCTTGGATTATCGTTAGACCTTTTTTTTCACAGGAGACAATACCGTTCGACAATCGAGCTGCGCCACGCACCAGTTGGATTCACGGAAGCTCTTCAGGGCCTGCAGCGATGACCAAAAACAAATAAAAATACCTTAGGAGTAACGAAGTGTCAAATAAACGCCTCTGTACAAATACATGGGCAATCAGACGCAGAATATTTTTTGCCCACAGCCCATTAAGACTTCTAGCTCTGCAATATAAGTTCAAGACAAACAAACATTAACATTCAATGCCGAAACTTCTCCTTCGAGCTCATTCTAAAATTTCAACGTTATCAATAACTTAGGTCAAAACTATCCCGAATGGTTAGTCCAGCATATATATATATATATTGGAAAAAAATAAATTTTATCGAAATTAAAGCCTTGGATCAATAAATGCACGTAAATTGCAAAATTTTTCAAGAAATATTGAGATTATTTCCATTCAAACGCTGATCTCAACAGCAGGGCAAGCTCAGGTATGCCAGTAAAACAGAGCTGCTGTATGAACATAATTTTTTAATAGCTAAAGATTCTCGTTTTCTCCGAATGCTAGTGGGCGCAGGCTTGTCTGTTTAGTCTCAGATTTGCGAATTAAGTCAAATTAAATTAAAAGAAGCAAAATTAAAAGGGTGCAATGGGTTGTGAAATTAAAATGCATAAAAATGGAAGTCCTTGATGTTATATTGATGTACTGGAGGACTGAGTGAGGCAGGGAGAGCTGCGTTATCAGTTTTTATCAGTCCCGGCAGTGAGCCTATCAGATGGCAAGTCACTTCTTAGGCGAGAAGGCTTTAAAATAATATACTTTATGCTGCTGTCAGGAGACTTAATTAGTAGCAACTTTATCATCCTCTGAACTTTGTCTTCGAAGATAATCTAAGCCGCGGCATTTGACCTAACCAAATCGCGACCATAATTCCTGAACCAAAATGAGCTCGAACGTTCGGCGATTGCTTGTTTAGTACAGAAGCCTCGGCTCCGCAGACGAACAACAGTTGACACAAGAATGACATGTATTCATAGACCCCTAACTTCATTAAAGACTTATATAATAGCTTACAAATTTACATTAACATTAATTAACAGGCGCAAATAGTTGTTATAAGTCACATAAAGACCACTAACTCACGCAGGTGCTTCGAATGAACAACAAATAGCGCACAATACTGTAAAATGGCTCTTAACAATGTACAATTATCGTTATTGATCGACACACGCCATCGGAAGTGTGCGCTTCTTAAAGTATTATTGGTTGCAATATTCCCGGCGCAACGGAGTGACGATGTTAATTACCAGTCGTGTGTGCTCACCAGGCAATGACACATTCGCCCAGTGTAAACCCATAGAGGAATCGTGGGCAAGTTCGAGAGTGGGCCATTTCCTAGTTATGAAATTTTAAGTTCTTACAGAAGGACGAGAAAATCATCGAATGGTATAATGTACTTCTGAATTTTTAGTCAAAGCGGAATTCCCACCCTGCATAAAATTATTTTGAACTAGACAACACAGAGCCTAGAGAGCAGTCTAAATGAATTTTTTCCATCATCGTTAATAATCAGACTTTTAATGTAATTTGAGCATAGAGTCTAGGTGGCATCGAATTTTCTGCCGTGCTGACTGATCAATTTTACAATTTTGAAGAATCTAAATTATTTTCACTACAATACGAGTTTAGGTAACGAAATTTTGAAAATGGCGCAATGACAAAACTATGTAGCTACGTATATTGTGTGATTTGAACAAAAATGCACGATTGCATGATGATTCGACACGACTGGGATAACTTTTCTAGAAACGTCACCTCAACACTCTCATAAGCTAAATTAAAATTAAACTCTTATATTAGATTACAGAAAAAACAATATTTACAACAACAAATTTCAATATTCACATCAAATACAAAATTATGTCTGATCGCTGTTCCCAAACTGCAAAAACAGTTGTGTGCACGCGGCGTATGTTTGATGAAGTATAAAAATGCATTGATTCCGAAGAGTCAGAAAATCTTTTTCAAACCAGCACAAATGCATTCGAACTTAGTCTTGGTTATGCCAATATTATTTTCAGAAGTGAATTAACCTAGGAAATGACTGCATGTAGACTTGAGAGTTAAGATAAGAGCTGCCTGATAAGAGATGACGGTTGCGTGAAGTCGCTTACCTTCTTGACGTCGAAGATAAATGGGGAAAAACTAGAGTCTAAGACACAACGCCGGTAAAATCTGTTAATTGAAAAAATAGATTGAAAAGCAACTCTTATCAATTGAGATATAATTACTTAGATCGTTTAGAATTTTCATGGAGCAGCTGAACTCTTGCTGTCATCAGCATGTAAATGAGGTGAAGTGCATTATTTTATGTATGTTCAGAGAAACTTGCTAAAGATATATTATGATGTAGTCATATATAAAACTTAAGGGTAATTACAAAACGCCGCGTTGCAGGCAAGACCAAGCACTTAGAAAAAAAAAACAATACAATAAGAGCAGTCACATCTAAAAATACGACAGTAAACTCTGCAGGAGAAACAAAAACTAATATACACTTTAAAAATGAGCTCATTTGTTCGATCTGATGGGACATGAATCATGATATCAACACTTATTTGTAGAATAAAAACGCTAACTGAATGCACCAACTAGGAAGAAACTTAAACCTTAGAAAAAAGATTTGTTGGTTTTGATACATAATTATATACAATATGGACGTCATTGTTCCGAAGGAAAAGAAGGTCACTCGAAAATAATGAAGAATTGCTGTTCGTCACTAAAGGAAAATGTACTAGGATTTTCATAGAATTTGTTTTAAAAAGTTTTGCATTCTAGTTTAGGAGACTTGGTTCGCAAATTCTTTGATTGCATAAGAGAGGATTTGTATATCATTCTGAAGAATCAACAGTAACGTGAAAGAAAGATGTTAGCTAAGGGGCAATGCCTTGCTTAACGCAATGTCGCTTTCGATCTTGAAAGTGTGGAGAGAAAATTTACCGAACATCAGCCTTTAACCTTTTTCCGTTAACTGTTCCGTTCAGTGGATGTCAGTCTCTGCCATCTTTTCTGCTCTCACACGGCGGCGCATCTGAAAGAAATACGAGAATTTATTCACTGAGTAATCTGGCCGGCATACAGCAAATGATAATGTTGATAAGAATGCAAGGCTCAAGTAAATGCGACGGGCTTAACTTAATTTTACATCCAAATAATTGCCGTAGTTTCATAATCGTTGCATTAATAAAACAACAGGCATCGTTGAGCCAATAAAGAGAAGGTTAGCATTGATTCGAACTTTGTTGCAGAAATTCACATCCATAAACCTAAATTTAGTAAAGTGAAAAATTTAGTGAATTTAGTAAAGTAGTGCATTCGTTTTCGTATAGGTTTTTTACCTTCTTAGATAAATAAATAATTTTCACTGATGAGTTTATCAGCTAATAAACCCCATGCTGGTTTAAATCACTTCTAAGAACTGAGCTTCACTTACTCTTTGCAATGAATTAATTTAATTTGAAATAAAGCAAACGTTACGCAGAGAAATTATTCTTGCAGATATGTTCGTTGCAGATGGTTGCATCCATGGCTGTTCAGCAGATTCATGAACTGCTGGTCGCCTAACCGCAACGTTACCAAATAACAATACTATGTCACTAAACGAAGTTTTGTGACTGATTGGATCACTCACGTGACTTAGCTGATACCTGGCGCAGTCGAACCTCCTTATATTCATAAAATGATTATTAATATAATTTATAACATAATATAGCGGTTTCAGCGTTTATTAGGCCATTGGCATGTCGCCGATTCTTAACATAGCCGAACATCCACAGCTTGTTGCGGTCTCGAACTCGCAACTCACTGCTACAATTCTGCTGAGCTTAACCGCCCGGCCTCCTTGCCGATTCTGACCAGAAACTGGCGCACAGAGCTGGGATCGAACCCGCGCCTCTCTGCGCCAATCTTGGCACTCAGGAACTGTAACCACTGGGCCACCTGATCGTCGTCATTCGTTAAAACTTCTTAAATTTCATTCAGCTCTGTCGCAACAAGACTGTCAAATAATCCATGTTTTCGTGGAATAATTTTCTGCCACGTAGGCTCGTGTATTACTCCAAAATATAATATTCTGAGCATGTATTGAAAGGTGACTTCAAAAAAACAAGTTATCATTTCCATAGCCAAACGAATTAAGTTAGAAACGCGATAATTAGTTTTTCAGAAACCTTGTAAGTAAAAGAACCAGCGAGGCAGCAGAAGACGAAGGACAGCACCAGCTGCACGACGATCTCGATTGCCCCTCCAGTGATGAAGCGAGTCTCTTCTCTGTACTCGTCCGGGTCCCAGTACGAGTGGTAGTAGCGACCTCTCTTCACCAGCCAGTCGCCCACGAAGTAAGCGTTCAGGCAGATGATGAACAAGGCTTTGACCAGCCAGCTCCATGCGAGATACGGCAATCGCTGCAAATTATAGAACATGAATTAGTAATCACAATACTAATCAACATCGTTCATGTAATTAATGAATCCACTGAAAAAATTGCCGTTATTTGTGGTATGGATTTTAAGCCGCTAATGTCAGAACATTGATGTTTGCTGCTGTCGTTTGGGCACTTTCCTCATGTTTGGTGCCACAGTTATTACTGTAGTAATAATTACTGGTGCCGCAGCACTACAGTACATTGTCCCCTGCCATGCACTGGGACTATCGAGCTGCTGGGACAAGGCACCGGCTGCTGTCACCGCGCCTCGTGTATGCCGGCAGCGCGAGACGATGGCAATCAACCGGCGCGCCATCTCCACGGCGCTCGTGGTACAAAGGCTTTGTCAGCGTGCAAGCTTGCCGGTAAGTAGAATAGCCGCAAATTGAGATTTAAACATCTAGTTTGGTTCGAAAATGTTATGGATAAAATTTTTCGTGAGACTTTTTCATCAGCTGTCGCTGTTAGGAAGAAAATAATTTCGTCTTTTTCCGTTAAGAATTGCACATGACACTGATGTGCCTGCCTGAAGTCCAAATATCGTTTATCGAAAAATTTCTGTAATATACTCGATTGTAAAATTTTTCGTTTGCATTTTTTCTCAATGAATTTTCTGTCTAAATGCACACTGCGCTGTTGTCATCGATTATAGTGCAGCGAATACCTGCATGACTCGTATCCTTATTCGACGAATTGCTTCAGCTAATGAATCTATGGAGATCTGTGCTTAACTATTTCTTTTGGCTACAATTGTTCAACGTTGAATTATCATCGAGTAAATCAATTTATCAGTTTCAATAGGAGTGATAACCTCTATGTTAGTTTGGATTGAAAAAATGACAAGTTAATTAAAAAAAACAAATGGGACACGTGCATACCACAGTCCTAACGGGGCATGCCAGTGCAATAACGGGGTGATTTGCGTTGTTTCCGAGGCACAGCTTCACAGCGGCGCCGATTCAGGCCACAACCATAATCGGACTACCATTCAGGACGACCGTCATAGAAAATGAAAAATATTAAAGTTACGCTTACTTCACTGTTAGATTAGGTTAACGGCTACACATTTTTCCACGGCTAATGCATTTTTTCCATAAATTTACCGTCAAAAGCACGTATGAAGTGGCAGTTTAATTATGTTGACCTCTCAGGATCTAATATAATAAGAACGTATCAACCAGGCCTTACTTTCAAGAAGGCGATGAGCAGCACGGTCGAGAAGATGATGCTTACGATGCCCTCCGCCAGGCCTATGATGGTGCGCAGGCTGTGATCTGCAAAATTGCTGGCTTTGTAGTCGAATATAATATGGAATATAAGCCTGGAACATCTCAGCACGAAGCGGTTCGTTTTAAGAAAATTTTATTTTAAAAATTGTTTTGTATAATTTAGTTTTTAATATGCAGTGATTATCAAATGGCATTCCATCAGTCGACTCTCCCTGTTAAGCCAATCACATTCCCACCCCCTAAAAATGAAATAATTTCTGAATGAGCAGAAACGATCAGAATACACACAGAAGTCATCAAAATACTACAAAACCGAGCATATTTGGGCATAAAACCCAAGGCAATTCATAGCGGAGAACGAATTGCTGAATCGGCAATCGGAATCCCTGGTTCTGAATTGAGACCGCAAGAAATTAAGTAAAATTAAGATTAACCTAAAAAAAATAATCTTAAACTGAATCAAGAAGAGCACTATCGAACTGATCGCACTAGTTTAAAAAATGTAGCAAAATTTGTCCGAATAGCGATGTAATTTTTGCTCTAGTGTGTGTCATTCTGACGCAGATTGGCCGGGAAAAGGACGTATCACTGCACATGAAGAGCAGTGATCTCCCTTGTGGCAAACATGTAGTAAGCATGAGTGGCACGTTATCTCACTTGTTTCCAACATGTAGCAAGCATGAGCGGTACGCAATCTCACTTGTTTCAAACATGTAGCAAGCATGAGCGGTACGTGATCTCCCTTGTTTCAAACATGCAGCAAGCATGAGCAGCACGTGATCTCACTTGTTTCAAACATGTAGCAAGCATGAGCAGCACGTGATCTCACTTGTTTCAAACATGTAGCAAGCATGAGCGGCACGTGATCTCACTTGTTTCAAACATGTAGTAGTCGCAGCCTCTGATGCCGTGAGCCCACGGGCAGTGGAAGTGATCGTTTTGGATCTTGCCATAGAACCCCAATATGTATATGCCGAATATCTGAAACCAAGATAGTGGAATTATTGAAATATTCAGGTATGTTTTAGCAAGAAGGATATTTAAAATTATTTTCATAGTCTGAAATTTAGATGAAAAGATTATCATTGGGTCCTGGAGATTTTACCAATGTGCACAAAGCAAACAGACAAATTTTTTTCCATCGTCTAATAGAAAGAAAAGTAGTTTATCAACGCCCAAGACTTAAACACGTCAGTTCAGTATCAGCTCTCACATCTGGAAACCAAATAACTTCTCGAGTACCCAAGTTTAAATACCATCGATCCACTCGGCTTCCACTAAAAGCATCTGCCAAATACCTACCCGAATAACTATAGAAACCGAAAGATGTTACTCATCCGCCGTTATTATAGTATAGAAAGCCTTTTAGATAATTTCGACCACGTTCCCCTATAAGCACTCGATAGGGCATTTTCAATTATTCTCAATGTAAATTCTATTATTAATATTATTATTATTATTATTATTTTATATATTATTATTATTATGTAAATTATTCTCAATTTTCATTCTATTCTCAATGTAAAGACTTCGTCAGCCGCTTGACGCAGTCGACACAAGCACAACCAAGCATTCATGTCACTTTCGCTATAAATACTTTCTCAGCACTTGTTAATAGAGGCATTTTAGACGCTCATATTTTTAGCGCATTTTCTCGTTTATGGAAAAAATGAACTATCGTGCTCGTCATGTCCGCCCGTCTGTCCGTCCGTGACTTCACGTTTTCGTCGACTAGAAAATGCGCGCTCTGTCACTCACTGCAGTGAGTACTGAGTTATATTTTTTTATGTTACTTTTGGTACTCACGAGGTCAAGCACCGCGAGGACGGCTCCTCCGATGACCTCACACCGCAACGACCTCATCCTTCCGATGCCTGAAATAAGGAATAAATTATTGTTTTTCAAATCGTAGTTGATACTTAATGATGATAATAATGATTTGATAATGATAATAATGATTTGATAATGATAATGATTTGATAATGATAATAATGATTTGATAATGTAGTAAGTATTTTTTAGAATTGTGATGAAAATCGCTGATTTAAACTAAAAATTTGCTCACAGTGTTTCATACAGACAAGATTCAATGCATGAGAAATATAAAGAGCTAAACAAGTTGCTCCAGTCGAATGGACGAGAATTCTATCATAATTTTAATGACAATAATAACATTTTTCAGACGTGATTGAAAAGGAAGTATTTGAACATTTCCTTTGCTTCTTCAGCTAATTGCGGCATAATTATCCTTAAAAACGTAAAAATTAAGTCTCATAACAAGCTTATGTAACCGGTAGTAGTACATAGAGGAAACACGAGTTATGTCCGCCTGGGTTGAGTCAAGCAAGAATCTCCAGCTGCGTGGAGTTCGAGTTGAGTTTAGAACGCCGCAACCGATGCCTTGCGCGTGACGCTGCATATCAAGCCGCAACTCGCACGACGTAAAGAACAAATGTTCAAAAAACCACCTGCGTGTGTGTGTATGTATACTCTCGCTTGGCAGTTTTTAACGGTTGGCAGAGTCGAATGACTACCAACAAGCACTGAACCATGTTAACTAATAATATACAGGAAGTCAATCATTTGATTTCTGTAAAACCAAGCAAGTTTCTTATTCATACGATTGTTTAGCGAATGCAATTAGTACATGGCTTGGAGCACGACATTCACTTGCACGAACTATTTTAGTTTGAGGGGAGTTGCATAATAGAACTGGCCTGCGTAACACAATTGCTGTAGCATTTCCGTGTTGCCGCATTTTCATGTAGTATTTTAAAATTTTTAATCGGCTGTCTTGTAGTCTTATTGCCAGTGTACACTTTAGCTGTGTCCCCACCCCTGGCATGCACTTTGGTACAAGGGCTCTAATAAACCAATTATTGCGAAATTTCATTTTCAACAGTTAAAAATCTACTGTACTGCGAAAGTGCTAGATTCAACGTATAGATTCAATGCGGGTTTTTCATTTTTAGCGCATTTTCTCATTTATGGAAAAAATGCACTATTCTGCTCGCCATGTCCGTCTGTCTGTCTGTCTGTCCGTCCGTCTGTCCGTCCGTCCGTGATCTCAAGTTTTCGTCGACGAGAAAATGCGCTCTCTGTCACTCACTGCAGTGAGTACTGAGTTATATTTTTTCCATATAAACTTCTGAATTTTCAGGATGGAATCAGGTAAAGTACACCGCTTTTCTACACTTAAAAATTTCGTTACCAGTCGGAACACGTTCAGGCTATCGGTGTCGCAACTACTTCTTCCAATCCAGTTAACTTGGAAGCTGGCCACCGGGTGAAACAATTGTGCCTTGACGGTTTGCCTTCAACATCGCGGTCAACTTCGGTGTTGAACTCAAATATATTCCCTAACTAAAGCCATTTGAGATCAAGCGCTTCATTTCAATGCCTTTTATAACCTTGCCTTATGAATGGGTATCAATTGTGCAGCAGAGTGTTTACATAGATCTTATCTTCATGAAAAACGTGGTCACTTCAAACACTCTATTTATGATCTACTACTCGCTCCAATTGGCCGCCGACCATTCAGGTAGCAGAGATGTGGAGCATCATTGGACAATGCTATAAGGCACGCGTAAATAATGAAGCACGCGCCGCCAATTATGGAACAATGCAGGGAGTTGATAATAAGCTTCGGCCTTGAGGTACCAAGCACCGTGATATTGCGGAAGAATTGAGTGCTTTTAAAACTATATAAGAGTGACCGTAGTTAGCGTGGGTTCTACGATCAACATGAGGTGGAGAAACTGCATGCATATACAAATACGTATTGGTCACGGAAATATAGTTCTAGACACACCCGTCATATATACCATCCACGTAGGTATAAAATATATTTGTTTCACAACGATTATCAAAAGATAATTTGTTATCATACTGATTATGTATTTAAATTAAACAGTATTATATTCAATCAACACTAAACAGCTACTTCACAGCGGTCACTACCTTACTCTGAAAAATTAGGAACAAGAAGAAAACTAAAAATGTTCCGTAGTTTTCTGAAATATTAAGTTTACAAATTGACAGTAATTTTTCACAGTAATTTTTTACTGTTAACTGTCAATTTTTTTCCACAAATTGTATCGAAAGACACTTCACATATTACCGATGACTTATTGTTTTGGTTCAAACACCTTTTTCTTTAGGCAGTTGAATTTCTCAACTTGGACGACGTGAAAGAGGAAAACTACTTATATGTGCAGTGACAATTAACATTTTTATCATTAGTTTCTCAAGTGCATGCATAATCAAAACTAACCTACCACCGAAAACATTTCGTCGATACGAACACCTTAGGTTTCTAGCTAACTTCATTATCAGCATAATTAACACTTAAATTTCTCCGGAATTAATCTGCTGGATAATTCATTGATGCGATACAATTTGAATTACATTAACACAGGTGCTTGGTAGCAGCTAATGGGGTGCGTGACATCGAGATTCTATAACGACCGATGAATCAGCAGAAAGTGAAGCAAGAAAGCCCAGTATTCTTTTTTGTGTTGGAAATATTTTTTAAGATCTCTGCTTGCGGATACAGACATCCCATAAATTTCAGCAACATGGCTGCAGAGCAAAATTTTGGATTAATCGAGAGAAAAAGTGAAAGTTGCGTTACCCAAGAGTAAGGTGAAGGGAATGAAGAGAGCGCAGAAAGTAAAAATGAATTTTGTGTGTTTTTCCGAATATATAAAGCCAAGTTGACCCGCGTAATAATTTGAGAACATCATGCGAATATTCTGCTACCGATTTAAAAAGAAACATCTTTTGAACATCTCCACTGAAGTTAATATGCTATAAAATAGATAAATAATTATATATATGTTTATTTAGCAATTTGAGTGTGCGTGAACATGGCCACATTATCAGACAATCTTTAAGACCATGCACACGTACGTCAAATGCTAGAGAAACGAGATGTTGGCACTTATTCATAAGTACATGGACAGGATCAGTAAGAAATTTCGATGCAGTCCCGCAGGTAAAAATTATTTTTTTTCGCCATAATTAGCTGGATGAAATTTCAGATTCTTTTTCTACTAATCGAGGTTTGATCGCAATAGGATAGCGCAGGCCGTGGATCCGACACAACAACCGCGACACTTTATTTTTTATTTTTTAAGCCGCACAGCTCAAGACGTTTGGCACAGACCTTGCTCTTAAAAATATACAAGTAGAAATTTCAAATACATTGTGCAGGTTTATAAACAAAAACATACTAAAAAACTACGCAATGATATTGGAAAATATGTAAACGTTTTAATGACATTTTCATTATTTTATGAAGTCCAGGTTCATTTGCGATTTCGGCTACCATTTATTGATCTAAATACCTGAATACATTATGCATCCATTCCGTACGTAATTCTAATAAACGCTCAAATATTGTTTTAAATACCGTGCACTGCTTTTACGCTGAGGCTACTGAGTATAAACTATGTACGTGGTGGTGTTGCTAGTGACGCAACTATAGCAACTGTTGTTTGTAATGACGCATGTCACAACAACTCTTGCAACATTCGGCATCATTATTGTGGAGACAAAAGCTTCCATGTCGGTCAACGAATTAACATTTCATTTTTTACTTATCTGAACTTCATGACAGTTCCACAGGAATCATTAAACTGAAATTTATAAGACGACTCAATTAGATTTCCAATTAATTCTGACGTGGCTGTAGACATTCGCCATCTTATAAAGGCAATATTGAAACGAAATTTCAAATAAAATTAAAAAACTTGAAGGTCGTCACCATGAACGATCAAGTAATATTGAATTTATTAAGGAATTGGAGATCAGAATCGACACAGGAAATAATTTTAAACGCGGAAAGCCATTGACCATTACGAGGAACAATTTTAAAGCTAGAATAAATACACTACGTATATATGCATTCTGAGAACGGCTAAGTGTCCAAAAAAGACCAACTACTGGAATCGGTGAAAATCTAGTAAATTATCTAAGAACCCATCTTAATTAATGCAGGACCTTCGCGTTAAATTTAAAGTGACAGAGATTACTTAGATATATATACATTTTCAACCAAGGAGATAAAATGCATTTAGTTCCCAAGACCTTTCTCTTGGGTAGTCAGAATAATTATTCGTGAAGATGAAGCTTCGTGTTACATATTCGGTTCCAGGTATGGGGCATAACACAAGAAATATTCAAATTTTTGTAATCTTACTTGTAGGAATTGGTAAACATAATCAAGATGGTATCCGGTTTTAAGTTAGTTGTGAAATATAACTACATTTGCATGAATGATTTTGTCTCTGTGGGGGCAAATCTGTTGTATTTTCTTGACTAATAGACTGTAAGTAAAGAAACAATTATTTCGAACATTTTTAACCAAATAACAATTTCGACTCGACCAACGAATAATGTAAATTTAAACATGGACGGTTCGATGTGAGCGATTTAGCAGATTAAACCATTATTATTATTAATCAGTATCAATAATTCAACAATGGATTAAATAATGACCGGACGTCGAATTGTAGAAGAAAGTTAGATTTAAACATTAAAAATAAACAATGTCAAATTTCATTATTGTCATTAAATTTATTTAACATAAAAGTTCGTTAAGAGCCTTAATGTATTATTTCTTTTCTAAATTTTATCGAATGATGAAGCCATAACAATTGTCCATAATAACAATGGTCTAATTAAGTTATTTTTTATTACATGCATGCTTAAAAAAATAGCACTGCCGAGGAGAGCAAACAGCAAAATTTACAGCTTCTACACAACTGTTTTGCTGCTAGGACAAGATAAAGAGAGATGAAGAGAATTTTCAGTTCATTTTAAGACGCTAATCGTGTATGATGCAGCAGGCTTACAGCAACGCCGCAGACCA